ACATCCCGGAGAGCGCGGGGAGGCCCCTCCGGACGTATCAACACACCCATCGGACATATCCGCATCCTGATGGACCGCCTCCGGTGGCTTCAGGGCGCGCGCTTCGGTGTGCACGAGGTCGAGGAACGATCCGTCGTGGTGTTCTGCAAACCGCTTGGGGTTTTGCTCGAACAAGCCGACAAGGGCGTCGATGACGTCGGAGTAACGGCGCAACCCGAGACTCTCATCATCGACGCAACCCGCGTGATCCGCAGCCCAACGCGCCGCCTGGAGGCCTGGAACGATCTCCCGTTCGTCCCACACCGTGCCCTGAAGCGAAGCCGAAGCTTCGAGGGCGCAGGACGCGATGGCAAACGTTTCGGGCACGAACAGGACGTCTCCCGGTCGTGTCACGCGGACGTACTCTGGGCCGTCAGCTATGCGCTCGCGCGATGCGAGGAGATGAATCGTCTCTCCGACCAGCTGGCGAATGTACGTCTTGCCGCCGAGAGCGTTGACGTAGGGTCCCCGAAAGGCGCCTGCGGTGTCGATGTGGCTCGACGACAGCACGCCCTCGGCGTCTCCGCAGCCAGCGCGGGCGAACGCAGTCTCGAGGGCGTCGAAGCGTGGAAGGAGGGAGAGGAGGGGTTTGCGCGCGCGGAACCGGTGGCCGAGGTCCAGAGCGGCCACGGGCTCCCGGGCCTCCAGCACCGTCGCGACAAAGCTGGACACGTCTACGTCTTCGGGCGAGCTGGCACGGGTCCGCTGCACTCGAACGCGACCTCGAGGGCAGTGGTCCGCCAACGTTTGGACAAGGCCGTCAATGCTGTGCAGCGCCGTGTCGTCGCACCGCTCGGCAATCACGACTGGTCGATCGAATCGTGCAGCAGGGTCCTTAGCCTTCCGGCAGAATGCTTCGACGGACGGGTAGCGAAGGAACTCGTGGTTAGCACTCGTGCTACTCACCATCGAGAGCCACCGATGACGTGTTCGGCAGACTTTGCTGGAATTGGCCTCGTCACGGGCCTTCTCCCAGAGGCGCGGGAACTGAGGATGGCGTCTAATGTCTCGGCGCCACGCCGCACTCTGTTCAGCGTTACCCGCAGGTGACGGCGTTCCCAAGTGTAATGTCCTCGGGAAGACGGTGGGGCGCTCGGATGCAAGCCGGCTCCCGCTCGCGGCCGGCGTGGTACGCGTTGCGCCAGATTCACGCGAGTATATGTTATTATCGGTCAGTCGCTGCGTGCGACCGGTGCGTGGTGAGCGCGGGCGCGAGGTCCTGTCGGTTTCCAACCCTGGGAGAGCCTGGATAGGCAGGACGACGCCGCCGGGCCGTACACGTGTAGACGAGTAGGCTCCGCTACGCTGCGTTGTCGCGGAACTCCGCTCCTCGACAAAGATCTGTGACGGCGGCCGCAACGACGAGGGAGTAGACAGGCCTCCTGCAGAGCCCTGGACTGGGTAGCTTCGGAAGGACCCTAGGTTACCGAGGCTGTTGTTGTACGTCGTGGACTTGCGAAGCGATGACCCCGAGACCGACCAGCCCGTCGAGGTCGAGCTGTTCCCGGAACTCTGCACGGACTCCGACGGCGTGCGACTGGACTGGAGCACATCCCGATATCTAGGTGTGCTTCCATCCGAGAACACTCCCTGGGAGGTAGGAGTACTGCAGCTCTCGGTCGCGAACCCAGCGCTGTCTAGCGCGTCCAACCCTTCGTCTGCGCTATCATCGAAGTCACCCGAAGTGCTCGACTGGCTAGCGGCGGGCGACTCGACCAGAGCGTTGTTTGCTCCCATCGATGCTGCAGCAACGTCCCCCGTAGCATCCTCCTCTATCAGCTCTGTAGCGTCCTCTTCCATTAGCTCTGTAGCGTCCTCATCTGGCGGCTCTGCGGCCTCTTCCTCCTCCATCGACGCGGTAGCGTCCTCCTCCATCGACTCGGGAGCGTCCTCCTCCATCGACTCGGGAGCGTCCTCCTCCATCGACTCGGGAGCGTCCTCCCCCATCGACTCGGGAGCGTCCTCCTCCATCGACTCGGGAGCGTCCTTCTCCACCGACTCGGGAGCGTCCTCCCCCATCAACTCTGTAGCATCTTCCGCTGTCGACTCTGTAGTATCCTCTTCCATGGATCTCGTAGCGCTATCCCGTAGAGATCCAGATGCGCCGTCTGCGTTCGCTGTCGACCCATCCTCCTCTGTCGGCTCCGTACCGTCCTCATCTATCGATTCCGCACGGTCACCTCCTACCACGCCCGTAGCGTCATCATGCATAGATCGCAGTGTGCCGTCTGCTGTCGGTGCCGGCCCGTCCTCTTCCACAGACTCCGTATCGCCCTCCTGTGAAGACGCCGTGCTGCCCCGTTCTAACGCTTCCGTACCGCCCTCTTCAACCGGCCCTTGCGCACCGCTTCCCGTCGACTGCGGTGCATCCCTGCTTGCCGAGTCCGGCGCGCTGCCTTCCGTGGGATCGGAAAGAGCCCTTGTCGTCAATCCCGGTGTTTTATGGTTTGTGGGCCCAGGCCCGTGTGCGCGATTCGACTCCGGAACGGTCCTGTCATCGCTGTGCGCTGGGTTCGGGGCCGCCGGCCGACAGCTCAGCTGTGATACTCCTTGAGCGACTTCCTCTACGACCTCCTCACTACCTCCCATCTTCCGCCCACGTCGCGCGCTTCCGGTCTCCGCATCCGCGCACTCTCCTCCATCCCGATCTACCATAACATAGGCCTCGTCCTCCAACCCTGCGTCAGATGTCGGCCGCCGCTCTACCCCCTCCGGCGTCGAATCCGACACGTGGACGGCCGTCGCCCGCGTCCGGGCGCTACGACGCAAACCGGCCGACGAGTTGGTCTCGTCGACCACTACAACGTCATGCTGTATCGTTTGCGTAGGGGAGGCAGTGGCCGACGAGAGACCGGATGTCCCCTCCGACGGTTCGGCGATAGATACCACGTCCGGGCGGTCGTCGTCAGTGGCCTCGCTCTGTGGGACAAACAGGAATCCGGCGGTGCCATTGCTCACGTCTGTCAGCGATCGCTCGTGCCCCTCGACCGCCTTCCGGCACGTCGAGGGAGCAGACGAGATCGAGCCGACCAGAGTGCGGGCGTCATCGGATGGCGTGGTGGTCAGTTCGGTCCACGTTGGGGTACGCCCACGGCATTCTGCTGATGATTCACGACTCCGTCCATTGCGTGCCGCTGCGGAATCTTCAGGCTCTGCTGGGACTCGTGGCACGGTGCTCTCCGCTCGCTCAGTGCCCTCGACTTCGGCTTCATGGTCGCCGCCATTTCCCTGTCGCATACCAAGGAGACCGTGCTCGTCGAATTGCAACAGGTATTCGGCGGGACGCGTGGTGATATAGAACCTCAAAGCCCTCGACTCACCCTTCGGGTCCTTGAGCCTCGGCTTGGAGACGGATTTATTCGTGAAAGCTTCGATCTCGTCCGCGACTTCTGCGGCGGTCGTGGTGGTGAGCGGGCTGCCGTACACCCCGGCAGATTGGTTGTTTGCGAGTCTCGCCAGCTGCTGCAGTTCATCGACCCGGAGGTGCCCGGCGCTTGTGATGCGGTCAGATGTTCTTCCATGCCCTCTGAAGATGGAGTGGCGGTGCCGCAGCCATGCGACCGCGTTCGCAACCTCGATGAACTCGTCCAAAGTCCAGCGCTTGGCACACGCGTAGACGCGGCGCACGGCAGCCTGACCACCATCGCGCCAACGGTACCGCTGCACAACGCGCTCGTTCCACTTAGCCCCGATGAAACATCTCTGCCTGTCCTTGAGGCATGCCGCGTCACCCGCGTCGTATTTATTCTTAATGCATCCGTTGGCCAAATCCAACGCTTCTGTCCATGGCTTCTCTGTCAACGGGCGTTTGGAGTCTTCGAGGATTTCGTGAACAGCTAAGAGATATGAGCTGCTCCTCTTGGTGTTCGCCGTGTAATCCTTGGCCATTTGCAAAAGCCGTTCGGCATTGCCATTCTTCCATTCGTTGTAGGCATCGCACCATTCCTCTATGGTATGCGAAGCCTTCTTAGATGAAGCTTTAGCATCACCCGGATCGGTCATCTTTGCTACGGACTTTCAATCGGTAGGGAAGCAGTGAGAGTCGGCAGATACAAAGACGGCGCCGAAAGATGCAGCGCTGTTCGGGAGGGAACATAGAGTAGGGAAGACGGAGGCCACGCTTCGGGGCAGGTTTACCCTACAATTAATACACCTTGGAAAGAGAGCGCGCAGCTTGATTGGAGAAATTCCCGTGGATGTTGCTGGCACATAGGTCAAGCCGAGACGCGCAGTGAGTGAGTTCGGCGAATGCCGTCCGGTAGATGCCGTTCATCGCTCGCAGACTTGGACTTGGCCCCCCTTCGCTCAGAAGGCGTTTTCATTGGCCCACAACGTAGACCGCTTGGCTACGCTCCATGTACTATTGCGCCATCGCGAAACATCGCAGACGGCGAAATCCGTCGTTTCGAGGACGGAGAGTGATGGATACAAAGATGGCTTGCGACGACGGCTCACGGTGCCGTGTAGCGGTAAAGGAGGGGCCACCGTGCACAGTTCTACATGTGAAGTCCTGTTCCGTGTCGGGCTGAACGGGATTGCAAACATGCCGCAGAGCATGCGACTCGAACTCAAAACATGCTTTTATCGGGCGAGGCACCGCGAATGCCTAGCGCGACTTCCTTCACACCCCTTTCGCGAACGTCGTTACGCGGTCCACCGTGCGTCGTTGCATACTAGCGGCTTCGTTGCCCAGCGCACGAACTATCGAATGACACGATGCCCAGCGCATGAACTATCTAATGAAACGATACCCAGAAATCGTGAGATGCCGGCTGGAAGCGTATCTTGTGCGGTATCTAGTGGGTAACGCTGTCACCGCCAGAGATGTCCACGTGTCGTCATCCTGCAGCACCACTACGGCTGTCCTCCTCCACACGGCTCACGGCAAAAGAAAAGCCAGGAACCATCGTACTGTGGCAATGCGGTCGCACGCAGTGGCCGACTGTGGCCGTCGCCAACATTCAACAGGCTCGCCTGCGTTTGAGCGGGCGCGCGTCCGCGTTGCCTGTCCATTCTCGGACGGCCGGACAGCCTGGATGTTCGAAGCGGATCCCGTTCGGCCCGCTCACGTGGGGCAGGATGTCCGTGAAAGGGTCGTGGAGCCCTTGCTGGTCGACGAACCATTGCATGGTCTGTGGGAGTCCGGACATGGCGTGCTCGCCGGCACGTCCCAGACCGAGTTTCAGGTTGAAGGGAATGGTGAGGTCGTCGACGGTAAAGGCGACGCGTTGGACGTGCCGCTTGCACACGAAGCACTCTCGCAAGCGCAAGTCGTCGTCGACAGACTCGGCGTTCTTGAAGATGGGTATCTTTCCCGAGTGCACGCTGCGGACGAGCTCGAGTACGCGTGCGGGTTCACCCCGGATTCGGATCGTCCCCGTGCAGTCGTACGACCCGCCGTCGTTACGCGCGGGCGGTCCGTCGAGCTCGAAGAAGAAGGACGAGGCGACGAGAGCGATCTTGATGTCCCGCAGCTTGCCTTGCGGGACGCAGCGCTCGGTCTGCTGTGTGAGGAAATCCATGCTGGAGGCGTCGTCGAGGCTCGGGAGCGTGTCAGAGAGCATCAGATTCCACCGGAAATAGCGTGATTTCTCCGTGGGGTCCAGCATTTTCAGGACCTTTTGGTGCACAGTCTCCGGATCGACGGTCGCCATCAGAGTCTTCGTCCCCCAGCGATATATTCGGCTTACGACCCTCTTACTCGACGGCCCCCGTGACGTCGGATACGAGGGCGCGTCCGTGCGCAGCAGCCCGCCGGTGCCGAGCGAGAGGATGAGGTCGCGCCGTGGACGGCATGGCCAAATGTGCCCGGTGCTTTCCTCTACTGCAATGTCCGTGGGATTGGGGTTGCGCATCGCACCGTCCTGATGACTGCCCATGGAATCGTTCTGCTGGTCGTCCGATAGACGGATCTCGACCGTGCGGAAAAACCTGTGCAGCGTAAGTCAGGAGTCATTCCCGGTCGATAAGGGGAGCGAAGGGGACGAACCACGGGGCCGCGGACGTCGCTTTTGCACTGTGCCTTGGGTCAGCATTCTCGTCCCGCAACGTTGTCGGGACTTCTGGGGCATACGCACACCTCCCACAGATACGGCTCGTCCTCTGGGGCGCTCCGCGGGAACCTCGTGTACGTCGCGGCCGCCTGCTCCGCCCCAGGCTCAAGGTCGCCGTCCATGCGTTCGAGCGGCGGGTTGTAGTTCGCGAAGACGACGGTGGAGACGTCGTCCACGGTAGTGGTGGTGACCAGAAACTTCCAACGCGACGGAGCACCGTCGACGACGCGGTCGAAGAGCCGCGTCTGCTCCCCGACGCATCTCTTCAGCAGCATGGCGACGACTTCATCACTGTACACGCCTTTTCCGAACCAGGCCTCGACGAAACGATAGCCTCGCGCACACATCGGCTGCCTCGGCGCCGGTCGACTCCGCTGGGGAGCGGTGAAGACGCAGTCGGCGAAGCCGCAGAACTGCTCGATGCACCGCGCGTTGTCCCAGTGCATGCGGAACATTTCGAGCACGATGAGTGCACCTGCTTGCGTTAGTGAGGAGGTCCGCTGGAGGTAGCGGGGGAACGTACCCGCACTCGTCCCGACGGCAACGTCGAAGTAGTCTTGAATGGAACCTCCGCGGCCGATTTCCGCCTGCAGCAACTTCAAAAACTGTAGAGGCACGATACCCCGAGCGCCGCCGCCATCTATGCTTAAGATGCGGATGCCGGCGGTCGGCGGCTTCAGGACGACCTTCAATTGGGCTGGAGTTCTGCACAGCGCACATACCTCGACTCGGTAGGAGTACTCCATCCCGGACTCAGCGTGCCCGAGGCGTTGCACGCACACGTCGCAGATAGCATGGCCGCAGTGCAACACGTGCTGTGGTCGCCCGAAGATGCAGAACAGGCACGACGAGTTGCATTTCGCCTTTTCCCAGCGCATTTCGAGCCGGAAGAGATCGAGATTGCGGATATGCAAGTCCTTTGCCCAGTTTCCCCTCGTGGCCTCAGCGTCCACCCACTCGCAGACCTGCGCACGGATCTTGCTGAGGCACGATGCGACGAGTGCTGACTTCTGCATTCCCCGCGGATGACGCGAGAGCGGGACGTCCGCCGTCTCCAGGGCGTGTTGGATGGCGCTGGCGTAGATCGTCGAGAACGTGTCGGCAGGGCAGAACACTGATCGGCTGTCAGCATTCTCCCCACTCGACCGACGGGGCCAAGGTCTACTCACCGTGCGCTGAGGGGGGGTACGCATCATAGACAACGGACGACGCGACGACGCGAATCATCGTCTCGAAGGGGAGTTTGCGGTCGCGCGCCACGCGCAGAAAGGCACGAAGCTGACTTGCGGCAAGGGGGTGCAATGGTCGTGGCGATCGGGAGGTGGCGATAAAGTCGAACGGCGAGGGATCCCGAACCGTTCGCGCGACGTGCACCACCGCCTGGGAGAAGAACCAAGAGAGGTGTGTGGCGGAGAACAGTGTTCTTGCAGCAGACCTCCTTTCACGCGCCCTGTCCAGCGTTCGCCGGACCTCGCGAGCGAGTGCCGCTACGCGGAGGGCTTCGGCACGCCTGGGCCATAGTCTGACGCACCCTATCGCCGAGAAGTGGCGACGGTACCGGAGCGCGCGCATGCGCGAGTTGAACTCTCGCACCTCCCGAAGCTGTACGTCCCGCTCGTCGGTGTCCCGCGCCGAGGTGACCACGATTACGCTCGGTCGCGCATGCCAGGGCAGAGATGTGGGAATCAGGGAGGGAGCGGCTCCCGGGCTTCCGGAAGCCAGCTCGAACAATTGCTCCAGGTAAGTGGCGGCTCCCGCAAGGCCCCCGAGATCGTCCGCGAAAACACAGACGACATCGACAAAGGGGAAGAGGAGGCGGGTGAGGATAAGTTTGCCTGCGGTGTCGGAGGGCAGTGGCGAGTGCGTCCCGCTGCGTGTCGCTAGCTTCCGCTCTGCGGTAGGACAGCCAGCACCGGGTGAACAGTCGACGAAGAACAAAGGATGGTCGCTTCCTGCACTTTCACGGTCGAGTCCCGCACTTTCACGGTCGATTCCCGCACTCACACGGTCGAGGTGCAGGTCTGCGAACGCGTGCGTGCAGTTGGTCCACACATCTGGGTTTTGCGGGAACAGCACACTGTACGCGAGTCGCTTCTCGGTATTGCCGACGCATGCCACGATTTGGGGGCGCTGCAGCGTGGGTCGGCTGAGGGACTTCACCAACCCATCCAGACGGTGGACATCGACGATCCGTAGGCCATCGTCGGCGGTTGCCACTTCGACCCACGCGGCGCGCTCGTCTGCGTCCTGTCGCATGGTCAGCAACACGCGCAGATCGGTCACGATGGTCGGTGCGTCGGATCATAGCGTGGCTGCGACAGATATACCACTGACCTGTCCTCTGAAGGGGGTCTCAGGCCCCGCGGTCTGGTTTCACCTAGCGGGTCGGGGGTCTCACAGATCGCTTTCAGCGGATGATGGGGAAGACTTCGACCAGAAGATGAGCTCTACCGCTTCTGCATAGCCTTGCTCTCACGGGTACGGCAGCTCGAACTCCGGCCCGGCGGGGGACCCCAGCGTTAGGGTCGTGGCTCGTCGACGGCACGTCGAGCGATCATGCCCCGTCCGGAGGGCGGCATCGACATTGCTTTGGACCATCGGGGTTGCGGCAGCGGCCGGTGAAGGAGACATTGTGCGACGTGCGAGAGACGCTGTTGCGACACAGTGGGAAACCGTGTCGTCGGCGCGAATACTGACCGTAGGTCAAAGGGTACACTGAGTACAGAAGGCGATGGCTCGCGTGTTGGCTCTAAAGGTCCCTGCTCGTCTGGCCGCTCTTCCCCTTCTCTGCCATCAGCTCCAGATGTTTGTCAATGATCTCGCACACAGTGAAGCGGCATCTCGTCATCTTGTTGAACTGGACTCGTCAGTCGGCTCGTGAAGGACGGATCGCTACACTCACTAGCGTGTTGGTAAGTTCCCAATATACTCCGTCAGCTATCTTCTGGCATTCCTCCAACGCCACCGTCTTCCCCTGGGTCCATGGTCTTGGTCTCGGGAGCCTCCGTCCGCAGGCACACGCGCCCTCCTCCGAAGGCGACGCAGTCTCCCCTCCATCGACCACCTCCCCGTCCTCGTCCGCCGACGGCGCCTCTTGGAAGCTTGCTTGGTGCGGGGCAGGGTGCTGTCGCAGTGGCGAGGAGAAGGAGCGGATGCCGTGACCGTCGGTCCCATCGATGGCAGTGTTCGCGAACGCCGACGGATTGTACACCGACACAGCAGGCCCGCCACCGCTCGGTCCGGGGGCACCCATCTCCCATGATCTGGCCTGGTTCATCTGACTGTCGCCCGAAGGGAAGGGCCCGTAGTGCTGCGACACTCCGAGCGCGGCTGGGTCGATGTATGAAGAATCGACAGGCTGTGCATGAGGCGATGAGTCGGCCGACATCCACATCGTCGAGCCATTGTGGTAACCGGCATACGTGTCGGCCATCCCATTGGGCTGTCCGATCGCGGGGCCTGTGACCCCGAAGGGAGTCTGCTGTCATGTGGGTCAGCAGGCTGGTGAGCCAGGCGGACGCTGGGAACGAACTCTTGTAGTCTGTGCCCGACTCTGCATTGTTTCCCTCCAAAGACGTCCGTCGTTACGAGATGGAACAAGTATCGCTCGACACTGGGAGTCGATCGGACGACGGGTCCAGCTGCATTTCCAGAGACCGCCATATATACGGACGTCCGGCTCTGCGGCGATGCCATCTCAACGCGAGGAGACGATCAGGGCTCGAACGCCACGTCTATCTGGTTGTGATTGGTGTCGAACACTCACAACTGCAACTTGGAGTGGGTCCGACTAGTGGTGAATTGGCTCCGCAGGCTGCGACGCTATTTCGCCAGAGTGGGGGAGGGTCGATGGGATCCGATCCCGTATGGTGATACTCACGTGCGAGGCGCGTCCCCAACAGTGAAGATGTCCCACAGCGCGAGCACCAAGCGAAGAGTCCGTCGCGCACCAAGTTGCATTGAGGAGGATCGCCGAGGTGCGATTCTGTGTGCTACCACTACGTCGGGTCGCCGTGACCAGGGGAGTGCGTGGTCTCGGTCCAGCCGCTTCTCGCTGACATTGAACACGGGGCAAAGAGCCGGGTGGTCTTCCCATGGGCCTCATCGTCAAACTTGCCGCAGGATTCGACCTGTTGCCGACACAAGATTGTGTGAAATGTACCCAGGGTCGACTGATGTCTCTGCTCAAGGTTATCAGAGAGCTGAGGCAGCAGTTGTCTGACCGTTGTCGAGATCCTTCGCGGGGATCGTTGCGACATCATCCAATGACGTTCGTGCGCCGATTGCCGTTCAAGTAAAGCGCTCGAAATGGTGAAAGAAAGTGCGAGGTGGTACTGGCGTACGATCAATCGCACGGTCGCTCACCCTGCACGCACGCGGTCTAGGGTGTAGTTCGCAGCGGCAGAGCAGACGTGCCAACAGCAACCGGCAGGAGCTTCGATTAGAGCACCGCGCATCGAGCGCTAGCGCGGCGCTTGTCATGCGGCGCTGCTCTCCATCACGCAATGCCACATGGGAGCGCGCCAAACGCACATGGGGTCGCGCTCATGTGACCCTGCGTGAGGAGCCGCGTTCGTTGTGCTCAACCGTTCTACTAGTCATGATCCTGGACGACCCGCCAGCACTAGCACTACAAGTACACCAGGGTATTCGCGCATATGCACTAGTGAAAAGCCACGTTCCTCAAGAGTCGCGATGTCCAATGCGACGACAATGCCGGCTGTGCCGCGCTGAGACGGGGCGTCGCGGATGTTCAGCACGGAGAGCGTTAGCGTCGTTCTACCTGAAATTTGCCGATGCCGCCAAGCGACACCACTCCCTTCCGTGATCGCGCCACAGACGTCAACGCAAAGGGTTCCAGAGCGAAAGTGGTTCGGTTTTAACACAGTGATATGTTACGCTAGGTCTCAGACGCTTCGATAAATACCACCAGCTCGCGATCGGGACGCACTGCGTCCACTCGTGCTGTGACTCTCACGCTCTCCCCCGCCATTGCTCACGCCTCCTGGGTTCACGCACGCTCACTAGTCCCATGGCCCGGTGGGCCGCTCAGATTCGGCTACTGGTGGTAATCACCAGCATCGAACAGCTTATTGCGGAGCTTACGGAGGTTCGCTTGCAGGCTGTCGATGTCGCGATCGAGCGAGTCCATATACTCGATCACACCCGGACATGAAGATGGCGTCGCGCTGTCGTTCTCATGGCATGGGCTGCCACGTGGCGAGCGCATAGCACCAAGGAGGAATGGCTCGCATGATGGCGGAGGTGTCGTGCATTCTGTCGAGGTTCTTAATCGCTTGTGGGGATATGGTGTGGGTGCCCGGCGCGAAGGTCGGCCTCTTGAGTCTGTCTCAACGGTCGGATCGTCGTGTGCCTCGTGCTTTCCTACATAGCGTTAGCAAATTTCTCGATAGGCGTTCCCGTAGCCTACTTTTGAGGTCCCGGTCCACATCGAACGCTAAGGATTCGATGATCGAGGCTCTAGTCTGTGCCCCAATGGTCTGTGTTGCACTGCTGCGGGGGGATGACGTGCGTACGCTCATTTTCCAGTGTCGTTAGTGCTACTTCATCCCAGAGCGTGGAAAAGCCTGGTTTTGCAATCTGGGAATGTGGCGGTGTTTAAACCGTGACCGTACATTCAGGCTCAAAGGTTCGAAGCGAAAAGTGATACCCCTTTGCGCGACAGTGTCACACGGCTGGTCTACCTCGATGACGACCAGAGGGGTCCTTGGGCGAGCAGAGGCGCCGTCCTTCCGTGGGGGCAGGGAATGGAATGTCAGACAGGGGTTTCACGCCAAGATTAGCGACCACGTGATTTCTCTGCCGTGCGGGCCAAGGCGTCCGACGGTGAAAACACGTGCTTGGGGTTCCCAACCATGGAACTCCAGAAACGAAGGAAATGCATCCACCGACACTTGGAATGCATCCCGTTTGCTGGCTTCAGCCGAGCTAGTGTGTCTGTTCGTTCGCGTGCCGGTGCGCGTGTTCCTGTGTTCTCGACGACTATTCGGTTCACATACGGTGGAGCACCCACGCGCGACACGCAGGGTATGCAGGACTCTATGGCCGACGGTGCTTTGATACAACACATTGGCTTGGGCTTCGGTCTTCGCCTAGACGCTGAAACCAGCGTAGCGAGTGATTCACGAGATCTTGATTACGTTCGCATGCTGCTTGCACAGCCACTGGCGTTGGGCCCTGACTGTCAACGGGCGGCAGTGAAGCATAGCGCGTTGAGCAAGATCTTTCGAAAGGTGGTCAATCCAGCGCATGATCGATACAACCTTTATCTATGCACTGTGTTCTAGAACGACACGGTGACAATCCAGCGTGACGTTTCACGGTCTCACTCACTCAGACCTCCATCCGTTGCCGTCAAACGTTCGACGCATCGCAGCGGTATGCTTTCTCGCCGACGTTCCGCCAACCGCCAACCGCATCCCTTTTAGCAACGTTGACTGCGAGCATCGCCGGTCGACTAGACTTGGCCTGATGGGCCTTTTTCCGCTTGCGGGCCGCGGATCGTGTGCGGTGAACTTGATGCCGTGTTCACCGTCGAGGTATCAGGGTGCTGCATACGAGCAAGTCGTCGCTGTCGATACCGCCACAGCAGCAAAGAGAGGATCACTAGCAGTACGCCGGCCCCTAGGCCAAGGATAACTTGCGTGACTCTGCGATCGACCCGGGTGAAAGGTGCTTCGTTCGGGGTGCAAACGATGCCGCGTGCGGTGTATGGGCATGGCTGATCGAATGTTGTGTTCGTGGGCCCCGATGCCTTCGACATAGTGAACAGGCCGTGGTGGCGACACGACAGCTGTGGTGGCGGAGAGGAATGGAGACGAAAATGTCCTTGTACGGGGCAAAGATGACTTGGACCGAGTCGGGCGAGGTAGCGCGACTGGGAGTCGTTTAGACCAAGATTCTCACTGGCAAGCGAGGTCTGTGATGACTTTTGGCAGCCAACTTGATCGGGACCGGCATCTTGTCGAAGGAGTCCACGTCCATACGACTGGATCGCATGTGTGGAGTGAGTCGGACAACCCGAACGCCGAGCGTTCTGGTGCCTGCCGCTGCCTCCACCCTTGACGTGTGCGCAGACCCCTTCTGGGTCCTGTCGGCGCGAAACTTTCACAACATGTGGCGCGCATAACCCCGTACCATCGTGAGCGGACTTCACGAGTATAGCCTCCGGATGCATCCAGAGTCGTTGGACTCCGACGAGATTACGGAAGAGCCGCCTTCGTCCAAAGGCTTGAAGGGATGCCGGTTGACTCGCCTCGGCCTTACCGATGAAGCCGAGAGCCGTCTTCTCTGTGCTCGTAGCGCTAGAGATCTGCGTGACCATCATATCGCTCCTCGTCCTCGCACTGGTGGGATGGAGGGTGTCTTCCCATGATGCGACGGCCTTGGACGGGCTGACGATCGTCGTGTCGAGCGTGTCGGTCGCAGTGGGAATCTCTCGGACGACCATACTGTTCAGGTGCTGCCTTCGCCGGACATACAATACGACAGCGCAGAGAGAGTTCTACATAGGCGGGTGCTATATGACCGCGCTGTGGGCACTGGTGCACGTCGCGTTCCTTGTCTGTCGACCAACGGAAGCTCACCTCGCCCTGGTACAGTATCCCTTATCTCCCACACCCACTGGACCTGACAGTAGCAGGCGAACCTCGCGTCGTACGGGTCGATGGGTGGCGGGATAGTAGTATCCGAAGTCGCGAGGAGATTGTGGGGAGGGCGGACCACGGGTCATGGACCCGAAAGCTGAGGCAGACCCGGGCTGCGCGCTCGGTGGTGTGGCAACAGCTCACCGAGACAGCGATGTGCCCGTCGAGAGAAGTGCTCCCAGCGAAGCGAGCGAACACCAACCTGTTGCTGAGAGTCGGAGAGTGAGTGACGCTATTCGATACCGCGTGCGGTCGAACGACACTGGCCGGATCGATTCAGCTCGGCCACGACGAACACTGGGCGTAGCCCACGACGCCACTCGTTCTCGGTCGCAACGACGACTCTTCGACGGAAGTTCCTTCAGGGGTCGGGAGCTTGCCCAACCGTTTCACTCGCCCGAGGCGCGGAGTCCTTTATCACAACCAGGGATACCTCCAACAGGAGTAAGTGGCGACAGAGCAGCACTATCGAACCTAACCGGCGCATATCTGTTGAGAATGGCAGAGGCAGGCGACGATGACGTGGCGTCCTTGCTGCCGCCGGATGTGGTGCCGTTCATGGCCACAGCGGACTTCCACGGAACGGACGAGCTGGTGGACTTGGCCGCCGCACGCATCTGCCGCGACATCGTCCGGGAAGGCAGCCGCCTCACGCCTCGAGTCCTTCAAACGATCCAATCACTGACGCCACCACTGCGCTTCAGAGTTCTCGACCAGGCAGACTCCACCTGCTTCGCAGCACTCCGGAGAGTCATCGCACCCTACAACCATCAGTATCGAGACCAACTCCGACGACTCCTACCCAACAGCCACTTCCTACGCGGGCTGGACGTACATCAGGCGCCGAGGGCGTACGAGGTGGTGTGCACGGCTCGGGAGAACATCGCTGCGCTTGTCGCAGACACACGTGACGCCTTCGACACCGGGGCTCGCCTGGACAAGGTCGAAGTGTCCCCTGACTACCGCACTGTCCTGACCCTCGCACGGGTCACATGCGTGTTGACCGTCTGGGGACTCGAGTGTCGCCCGCTCAAGAGGGTAGCGCTCCACGACTCGGTGCGAGACGCCACGTACGTCCCATCGGGGCTCATCTTCACCGTCAGCTGTGACGGGGTTGTCCGCGGCCGGCTGGCGGCCGGATCCCTTGTTCTGACGATCGCATGCGATCCGGCATACGCCATCTCCGCGTCGGACACGTTCATACTCACGCACAGTATGGATGGTGACAATCCGGGGACGTTGCAGCTGTGGAAGTGGACCTTGCGGTCACAACAGGCCGACAGGATGTGGTCGGGACTGGGGACGACTGCGCGCGTCGCATCGAACGGCGTGCGCATGGTCTGCTGCGAGCGGGGGCGAGTATGGCTGCGTTCTTGCACTCTGCCCGAGCGGCATCGCATCGACCTTTGGAACGCCGAAGACGAAGGCCGAGTGCTCGGGGACGTGATCGACCTCGCCATATCGCCAGACGGCTCGACTGTCATTGCCATCTACCTGCAGAGGGCGACGATCTGGTCCGTACAGAGCCCCACCAGGCCGCAGAGCTTCGACGCCCCAGAAGCAAGTGGCGAGACGTTCGATCACGTTGCCTTCTGTCCGAGACAAGGGTTCGTCGCTCTCGTGAGCTGGGCCGGCTCGATCATCCTGCTGAGCGCCACGGATGGAGAATTCGTGTCCCGCCGTCGGCTGAATGCTCCGTCCGGTATCTGCCACGCCGCGTGGTCGCCCGACGGGCGGTATTTGGTTGTCGCTTCGAACCGTGGGGCCCGATTCATAGACCCTTGGCTTCCGTCCGAGGAGCCAGCGTTCCGCCCGGCGCCCACACGCGTCGCTACGGACGCGCCTTCCTGACGAGGGAGGTGGAGAAGAAATTTCCACCCAAGAACGGTGTGTTTGCGCTTTTGCCGTGCGCCATCGAAAAGGCTATTACGGTTCTATGTGCGATCGGTGGCTTTTTATACCATTGAGCGATACGATGTTGAACGTCATACGACCGATGTGGAAGACGTGAAAGCTGGCGGAGCTTCACCCCTGTGTAATGGCGAACGCGCGATTTCGGCGTCACGGATAGAGTAAGGACAGTCAAGTGTAGCTGTGGAGATGTGGTGACGACAGGTAGTCTGTGGAGCTGCGGTATACGAGAGGTACTGTGCTATCTGGCCTTGCATGGCTCGGCATTCGTAGGCGTTTCGGTAGGCTGAGCTATAGACGTGAGACACCCACCACGAGGCCAGCATCGAAGTGTCAGCTGTATCTCTCAGTCACGCGCCGAACCATCCTCAGAAATACCGTTGGAAGAACAACCTCCCTGACAGGCGAGGCTGGGCCTCGCCAGCACGCTTAGCTATGTTGAAAGCTGGAAGCACGGACTCCAGTGATGCAGCTCGGAGCAGTCCCAGAAGACCGCTGGAGACATTTCATCGTCCGCGAATCAGAGAAAGTGTTGCAGCAGACGTCGTCAACAAGTAAAAGCCATCGCATGTCTGCTATCTATCAAAAAGTGCAAGCCGATGCCAGGCTGGCCCAGGACACATGGTATGTGAGAAGACGCTGTCGTTTAATCCTATAGTATCGCGGCAGGGTCCGACGTTCCGTCTCCCACGTCGCTGAGCAGATGTTTTCCGCCGGTGTGAGTGGCGTCGCCGGAGTTCCTCTCAGTTGCATTCGGATAGGCATAGTTCGTGGATGGTGTGATCTCGTGTGTCCAGGACCTTGGTCATGGACCTGATGATTTGAGCACATATCTTGTGCATGTCGGTGAGGTCGCTTCGTGTTCGTTCTCTGTCGTCCAGGAGCAGATCAATGCGATGCTTCAGTCGGCAGTTTTCCGCTTTCAGGCCGTCACATTGGTCTCGCAGCGGATGCATCCTGCGTTCGACCTCGTCGATACAGGGTGCAGCGACCGTCGGCTCGCACAAGTCACGACGCTGGGCCTGGAGGTCCCGATTGAGGGCTTGCGCGATTGACAGTTGCCGACGGAGATCCGAGATCACACCATTCGCTCCTGTGGCGGCGTCCTTCTCCAGGAAGGCTGCCGTTCCGTCATCCTCTCGCCTGAGACCATCGAGGGTGCCAGGCTCTTCGTGCAGCGCCAGACCGCTCTCGATCGAGGGGTCCGAGTCGACAGCTGTACCGAACACATCAGACAGTAGTCCGTCGATGGCCGGAACATTCCAGTCTATCGCGTCCGTATCCGCCGTACGGTCTTGCGGCCGGGCCCGGCGTGGCGGTGTGCACATGCTTGGGCGCTGATAGTGACGCCGCCCCCGTGTATCCGAACAGAATCGTCGTGTCCCTTGTGGACTTCCAGGGTCGAGAGCACCGCAAAAGATCGAAATGCAGTCCCCCACTCTCGCGATCGCGTGCAACGGTACGACACCGGCGTCCCAGGGCGAAACGAAGTCTGCCTTCTAAATGTAGAGTCCGGGGCGACGGGTGTGCCGCGAGTGGACACAACATTCGGAGCGAGGGGGTGTTATGTGCTCCACCCACCCTCACCTCAAGCAATCCTCAAACGCAGTCCGCAGCCCCCAAAAAATATCCGACCGATGACAATGTTATATACAGACCAGATGGTCCTCCATCAGGGTCGACGCCGCAATACAAGTTTGATTGTCTTTTCGACGCAGAGCATGGACGCTCCGACCACCCTAGAGCCTGTCTCGGAGTGGGTGAACAATGTTTCCTGTGAGGAGATGCTGTGGCCCTTCGACACAGGCTACCCGAACGACATGCAGCCTCTTCTCGGCGATATGACAGGATTCGACTGGAACACGAACTGGAATCCAGTGCCGGTAGCGGAGCGAACACAGTATGACGGGGCCCAATTGTTCCCTGATCTTGGCAACTGGCAGGGCGAGTCCGGGGACGGGTTGATGGATGCGGCGAGGTAAGAATCTCTCCACTGCTGGACGCACGCATATGTTGACTTCCGCAGCGCTGCAAATCCTGTGCAACACTTGGCGACGATTATCGAGAGGTATTATGTTCCACACAGTAATAATGGCATGGACGGTGTCACTGACGGCGCCCCAGGCTGGAAGGGCAGGTTGCGTCTTTTGCGCAAGATGTGGCACGTCTCGAGAGCAAACTAGCAAAAGTGGAACGTCTCGAAGAGAATATTGCACGTCTCGAGAGAGAACTAGCAGAAGCGGCGGTCATGATCACGGATACGAGGCTGCACCAGCAAGGATGTTCTCCGTTGATGAAAAATTCTGGATTCACGATACAGCCAGTTTCGACTAGAAGACGTCGACGGCACAAAAAGCAGCCGACGCAGGGCCCGTAGTGTGTGGTGTGCAGTCGACTTGGGACGTGTGGTACCACCAGCGGAAGAGTGACGGAGACGGACTGCACGAACCGTCGAAGATGTATTTCTAGTGTAGCATCACCAACCATGGCTCTAGAGACACAATACTATACCGTCGGTGCAACCCGTGTAGCTGGCCCGACTGATAGGCCCGACATGTGACTCGAGTGACTGCATGCCCGGCTGGTCGCGTGTGTAGTGTCACATGAATGAAGTCCAATTGCAACCTGGAAGCACGCAGCAGGACACGACCTCCCCTCGTGAGGTAATGCTATGGAAATCTCGTTAGAGCGCTAGCCTACATGCTATTCGTAAACCGTTCCAAGCGAAATGTTCTGGCGTTGACCCAATTGCATAGTATAGAGAACGACTGCAGTGTGCCTACCATATCGTGCTGTACTACGTTTCCCCCTTCCGCGTGAGACTATACGTAGTACCAGTATTCGGCCGCGTACTTGTAAGATAGTACTTTCTTCCCACCGCCGCAACCATTCGGATCTGGTGCCCCGCCTGCTGTGTCGATCCTGTACACCTCTGAGAACACCTGACTGTGCGGCGAGCCGTCGCTAGGTAGGAACAACCAGTCGACTGCACCAAACCCGGTCTGTCCGCCGTAGGCGTCTGCGGGTGCTTCGGCTGCTCCGGTCTTCTGAGCCGAGAGGAAACCGCGCCCTGGGACGCTGAAAAATGGTGTCCCTTGACCATCGACGATCCCAAACCAGTGATGCCCGAGATGATCGAAGAATCGATAGTTGGCCTTGAGCTGACAATTGTTGACATCCAGGTTCTGCGATGCTTGGCATTTCAAGCGCTCATACGCTCGGAGGTAGCTTGCCGTAAGACCTGGCGGCGTCTGCCCGCACTGCAGCTTGTACTGGGTAATGTCGAAGACGGAGGCGATGGCCCCGACCGCCTGCGGCGAAGCCGTCGTAGTAGCGCAGGTGTAGTTTTGGACGCCGATGCCAAGACCGACATGCTGCAGCGTGGCATTGCTGTTCGACGGTAGAGTCTGCCGGGGTTGTTGTTTCTGCAATTGTGCCAGAGTAAGACCCTGACCGTGACATGTCGCTGGTGCGCAGTAGCATGGCGAGGCAAGTGACAGAGCGCCGAGGAGGATGGCAAACGGTGGCAAAAGCATGTTGAGTAGCAATAAAGGAGAAAGGGTGCGATTCCATCCGCAGTGGACGTACAGGACTATATACCCACTTGCCTCTCACCTCTCCGGCACCCACTGGGACGCTTGCAGATCTGCAGGCTAACTCGGCTTTCTTGGCCGACCCGCAGCTGAGCCCGCTCAGTAGGAAAGACCGTCTTCGTTAGATGGCTAGATCGTGTAGAGTGTAGAAGTCCTTCTGAATGTCCACGTGAGTCTCCTGTGATCGAAGCTTGTTCGGAGACCCTTCGCCGCGTTTTTGAACACTATCTAGGACAAGAGTTGTAGGCACTTTGCTGTCGCGTAAAGGACGTAGACACTTCGTTCTGCTCATAGTATCGTCCATATTATCGTCCTGTCTGTGTATTTTCGTCCTAAATTAGCGCGAAAACTAGCTTCTAATGCGTTGACTGTTAGCTATGCACGTGGCGGACAATTCGCAAATGCCGACTCCCTTAGAAGCGCTATATAACATAAGCCATCGCGCATGAATGTCCGGCTGCTTTACTATCCACCGTCGAAAATGCCTAATGAAATCGTTGCTATGCTTGTTACGACTTTTCTGCTCTTTCCGACCACGGATGCGGTGCTACATGGTAATGTATACACCCATAAGGATACTTGGCCATCCCCTGCGATCGGCTCCCCGTTACGCCCACAACGACCTAGTCTTGAGCTGCAGGAGATGCTGGCAGAGATCGATCCAGAGCGGATCGAACACACTGTCACGACGCTAGTCGGTTTCCGTACCCGACACACTCTTTCGACGCAGGAGTCATCGACTGAAGGCATCGGCGCGGCTCGGGACTGGATATACCATACCATGAAGGCCAACGCTGGGACATCCGACGGGACCGTCGATGTATATCTGAACAGCTACATCCAAGAAGCCGCGGAATTCTATCCATTTTCTGTAAATGTCAGCAACGTGGTCACTCAAGTCAACGGTACCGTGGACCCTTCGCGAGCCTACGTCGTCACCGCGCATTACGACAGTCGCAGACTGGACCTTATGGATTTCACTGGTGACGCCCCTGGAGCCGACGACGATGCTACCGGTGTAGCGGTCGTTATGGAGCTAGCTCGGGTAATGACAAAACGAAAACCGAAAGCGACTGTCGTCTTCGCCGCTACCGCAGGTGAGGAGCAGGGGTATCAAGGTGCGTCCGGCTCGGCTCACCTAGCTCGCACCCTGAGGCATGCTGGTTACGATGTTCAAGGGAATTGGAACAACGACATCGTTGGGACCGGCAAGAACACGCCCTTCTCAGCCGTGAACGACTTCATCGTCCGTGTTTTCGGCGCGAGTATCTACTACCCTAACACTAGCTCAGCGCAACTCCGAGAACAATATAGTGTTTTCGGCGACTGGAACGATTCCCCGGCCCACAACCTTGGTCGCTTCATCCGAGAGATTGCGGCAGGCGCCGCACGCGCGCTCCGCATGAGGGTAGAGCTTGTTTACCGTCCCGACAGGATGGGCAGGGGCGGTGATCATTATAGCTTTCTGGCGGAAGGGTTTCCAGCGGTGAGGTTTACGGAAAGTGTGGAAGACTTTGCACATCAGCACCAGGTACGTCGACTGGTATTACCCCCATCGTTTGTCATGCTGAACATTCGACAAGGACCCTCGGGTAGAGAATGGGGTTCAGTTCGGCGACCTGTTGGAGTTCGTCGATTTCGAATATACGACTCGCGTGGCTCGCACGAATCTTGCGAGTATGTGGTCAGCTGCAAACGCCCCTTCGACCCCCCGAAATGTTGGTATCAGCATGTCTGTTGGTGCCTTGGCGTCGAATCGCTCAGCGCGAGTAGAGGATTTGTCAAACAAAAGCCAGTTCTGTTGGGCAACGGGCCACGATAGCCTAGCAGTAGGGTATGAGCTCGTATGGCGGCCCTCTGGCTCCCTGGATTGGACGCATTATCTGAACGTCGGGCACAGAGGGACGGTGACAGTAGACCTACCCAAGGATGACTTGCAATTTGGCGTGAGAGCGGTTGGTAAGAACAACATGAAGAGTCCAGCGGTACTCCCAGTACCAATCGATAGCTGTTGAAGGAATGGACAGGCGAGCCCTACGACAAGTCAACATCTGACTCGACAAGACGGTAGCACTTGCTCTGCAACCCTCCCTAGCTTCCTGTAGAAGAATGAAGGGGCAACGACCTCGTTCTGCCCTCCCCTTCGACATGTCCGCTCCTACGGTATATCATCTGACCCATCCAATTTGTGACTACGATCAGCAGTATGGTCGAGATGGAGAGTCAAATACCAGCTTCCAGGAGGTCGCGGATGAACCTCGAATACCATGTATTGACGACGCCGAACATGGAAATTCCAAACACCAGTATAGTAATGTTGCCCATCCGAAGTGGAAACATTGATAACACGCGGCGGTCCATAACCCTGAGCGCCGATGGGATTGCGAAAAAGAGTGTCGAATGTTCGGAGGTGACTGACGACCGCGGGCACTCCTACAGCGAAAACATCTCCGAGACGAAGTGGCAGGCTTCGACGAATCATGAGGAGGGAATGAGCACATTCTACAACTCTGGGTACACAAATGCTACTGTAGCGTGAGATGCACCTCAGCCGGTCGTCTTCGTCACGTGATCGGCGCGACGCTTGGTGTCATTAAAATCACGTGGCTGATGGCCCGTACCTCGGCGACGCCTGTCCTCGCTCCTAGATTGCAGGATCTTGGTGCTTTGTGGCGGCCTTTTTCGTCTTGCGCTTCGGCTTTGGAGGACGCGATGGATCACGTCTCTCATCGCCAGAAGAGCAGGTCCCGACCCAGAGATACTCTGCTGGCGGCAAATCTGTGTGTAGCTCCGAAGGCTTCGCTGTCTGCCTGCACCCAAACCGACGCCCCCTCATCGGCCGCCCTCTCAGCCATGACCCAGACCGTGACCGTGATGTGCTCGTTGACCGCATTCGTACTCCGGTAACTGGAGGGTCTGCCAATCCTGTGCGACCACTCACGCACGTTCGATCCCACGATCTGGACGGTCCTCTTGTGCGTGATTCTGTCTCTCATCCACGCCTCCTGCGGGGGCAAGTCCCTGATCGGGTCCGAGAGTGTGTCCCTCTCCTAGGCCGTGAGTGCATTCGGGCACGCATAACAGAGGATGTCCAAGTCAGTCGCCGAGAGCAAGTTCATGATCGTGGTCCTCATCGGGGCAGAGGCGCTCCAGCACGTACATGAGCGGGTTCGACATCTCCTCAACGATCTCGTCCAGCGTGCCACACGTTCGGACGATAGATCCAGGAGGCAACACAAGGGCACGGAATCCAAACGCGAGCCATTCACATTCAGCTGGAGAACGATCTGTGTCGGTCGTATTGCAGCATCGTGTGTGTCACAAGCCACGGCTTGTCTGATGCAAAATCAGCTCCAGCACTGCCACGAGTGTTCGGAACATGAGCAGTTTGGGTATCTGTGAGCGGTAACGCATGACGGGCCCCGGGCGTCCTCCTCTATTTCCCCCCCTTTCCGGCATCCCTCGTTGTATAGCGCGCTGCGGGCCTGTCGCGGTCGCCAGGAGTTGTGCTACGGGTACCGGGGCCTTCCTGTCATCTCCCTCTGTCCCCGTCATATCACTTCCACCGCTCCAGTCCGTCGACATAACCCGCTCTTCCGTACACCCTCCCTAGTCACGTCCGCGGCACCGCCCAGCCTGTTCGCCCACATTTCCCATTCACTCTCTTCCTCCTCCACTGCCGTCCCCCTCCCGGCCGCTCGCGCGTCCATCCAGTCCCCAATCCGCCGCACTTGGAATCGTAGGAGCAACGCTCCCGCGTCGCGTGCGATTCTCCTAAACTTGCCACCGCCCTCCCCTCATTCCGCACACACCTCCGTCGGCCTCCAACACTCCGTCCACTTCCGCTTCCCCTACAAACGCGATCGCCGACAGCCCACGCCACTTTTTGCACATCACCCGTCGGTCCTCGTCGCTGTACGGCACCTTCCCCGATCCACATGACTCTCATCGCAGCGACCAGTACAGGGATCGTGCTCAGTGATCATCGGGAAGCTGACCAAGACGCATGCCAGGAGGGATTCCAAGACCGCTTCGAACTCGTGCATGCAGCTGGAGTGGGTTTTTTTGGCATCGTCTTCTATGCCCTCGTCAAATCCGATTTTGCCTTCGAGCAGTCTCGACTGACAGATGATCCGTCCAGATATGAAGGTGCAGGGGGCCTCGGGAAGATCCAGGCTGTCAAGATTTGTAATCCGATGTGCCCGTCCGGCGTCAAAGCCAGCGCTAGCTATCTTGTCAAGGAGATCACGGCCATGCGGACAGTCTGGTCGAGGATGGAAAAGTCCGTTCACCTCAATTTTGTCAAACTACACGATTACAGCATATCGAACGCGCCATGGTACAGTATGGAGCCGGTGATGTCCGGGCTGACACTCGAAAAGCTCTACGTTACCACTCAAGCATGGCAATCGACTGTTCCCGAGGAACTGGCTTTCCATATCGTCGATCAGCTCACCAAAGCATGCCTTTTTCTGTATGAGAAGTGTAACATTGTTCGTGCAGACACTAATCGCGAGAACTTCATGCTTCGCTATCCCGGGAGACAAACTCCACTGCTGCCGGACGTGGTCCTGATTGATTGGTCGTTATGGGAAGAGGCTGACGCAGGGCGTATCGCCAAAGACACAAGGAAAATGTACGAAGCAGTGTTCCCAGTGCTTTTCGAAGGAGGGTGGACATGCGGAGCAAGTCATAGCCAGCTCGGCTGCGCAATCGACAATGCTACACATAGCAAAGCATGGCTGGATCTGTACAACACTATGAGCGCGAAGGCATCTTCTATTCAGCGTCTTGGAGAGGGCGTTGCTATCGCAGCAAAAGAGTCCAGACAGAGAGTCGAAGCGGACAGTCAGGTGGCAAATGTGGTCAGGGTCTTGATGGTCACTGCAGGAGACCGTTTCACTGAGACAAGTCTGCGACGGGCTCTGATGACGGGTTGAGAGTGCAAGCTCGTTGCTGTACTCGAACGTGATCAGATCCGGTCATAGCCCGTGTGTTTCGACAGTCTTACCCTGCGTGTCTCGAATCACACGAGGCGGTGCCAGAGCGATGGTTCCTACCCCCGCAACTCTCTGCGTAATATGCTGTCCCGTCCGTTCCTTCGCGTGCACTTCCGTACGCAGAACATCACGCGGTTGGATTGCACCCTCCCTCCACTTCCCTCCCTCGACGCACCATTCTTTTCCGCAGACCGTTGATGCCCTCAAAATGCAAGAACATCACCCTCCACAAGACACCCAAACGGCGGCATACGCACTTCCAACATGGCCAGCGCAAGAGCCCGGTAGAATGCGACACTCGCCACAAGCACAAAGATGTGAAATAGCTGGTGGCTGGCACCGATGAAGTCGAACCGGTATGGGCACAGTCGTTCGGGAAACTGAAGGAATCAGCGCGGTGGGAAGGAGTCGCGCTGCGTGACTTACTCTGCTGGTATAAAAGGCAGCTCCGACCACATTGAAAGCAGCAGTGAGCGTTGTCCATCCAAAGGCCATCCGTTGGTTCTGTGCCTCGTATCCGTATATATATATGCCATGCAGAACGAATGCAATTCCGAAAAGTCCGAGCACGGTGTACGTGAACACGCGGTACGCTCGGAACGGCGATGTGACGAATCGTGGGTGCAGCGTCAAAAGGGCGCAGACCGCTGCACCAATAGAAACCTGAGTGCGGCATGAGCTCGACTCGTCCACGCCAAGGGATCCCACTCACGAGAGTCTTGTACGACAAGCGCAGGGCAGGCGCGCATGGGAAAGCGAAATGGATCGAAGCGACACTCGCGCTCCATACCAGAAGTACTATCCCAGCGAGATCTACTCTGTTGCCCAGGGCGGCTGCGCTCGGGCTCAGGTTCCAAATCACGTGGCAACTTGCACGCTCTCAGTGACCACGTCCACAATATCTGCTCGGGTTGTTACCGACCTGGCGGAGCAAACAAAACACACCGACACACTCGCACAGTAGAGGACGAGCACTGCGGTATCTGCCACGTTCGCTTCGGCTGCGTGAGGGAGGACTGTTACGCAGAAGTGAAGGGGAAGAAGCAGGAAGAGCAGCGATCCCAGGAGGTGGGAGTAGATGTTGACTTTCGTTTGCGTCGTCAGTGGAGGCCTCGTCGGACGGCAGGGGGATGCACTAGCCTGTCTCGTTATGCCACGAAAGCACGCTCTCCATCGAGCGCCGCAGTGAATTTGAGGTCGGTCTTCTGCGGTGAGAAAGAGATGGACGGAGAGGATAAATGGGGGCACGAACCGGTAGCCTGACAAGAGAAACTCATTGTCCCTGCGATATCACCGTCAGTGGAAGTCTTGCCGCCACTGACGAACGAATGCTTTGCACCTTTGCCATTTCGCTGAACGGCGTCGAAGTCAGCGTGAGACCGGCGAAACAGCATAGCGAGCGTACGGATTTCATCGTATCTCAGGAGTGCTGGATCGTCCGGCGATCTGCATTCCCATGGTTCCCGTGGTGTGGGCTGGCTCCGACCAGCAGAGGTCGCACCCTTCGATCGACGAGTCACTCCATTATACATTGCGCCTTTGCAACGTGGGTCAAGATGTGGGTGGTATCGGCGTCCAATTCTTACCTCTCCTTGTCGACCAGCTGGGCGATAGTGGTCTCCATCAGATAACGCGGTGATCGCTCACCCATTCCGCATCGGAGTCGTGTCAAGGAGGGGAAAGCGAAGCTGATCTCGACCCCGAGTGCATCGCACGAGCCTTGACGTCTGCGGTGAGCGTCTCTCGCAACCGCAGTCCCCCGCGCGCGGAGGGATAGGGGGTCCAGACCGCCCCAAGCTTGCATAATGCTCGCAATGGCGGCTGTGGGTCTGCAGAAGTGACATCGATCACCAGGGCTGACTCTCCCATGCGATCGTTGACACGCTGTCGTGCCCGCTCCTCGAATCTGAACAGAACTCCCCAAACTAACTTTTGACCGATCTGCGATGGCCTGCGGATCCAAGTCCACCCTTGATCCACACGGATGCCACATCAGATCGTACGTCGGTGCCCACATCCCATCGTCCGCTACGTGTCAGGTCAATGGCGAGCATGTCGGAATGTGCTTCAACGCCCATCGCGTCCATCTCCAGCGGCGGGGGGCCCATGGGAAGTAGGCGAGGTCTCACGATCCCCATGGTGACGGAGCAAACTGGCCACTTTAGTGAACCAAGAGCGCGCGAAGGAGGTCTCCCCGAACAAAGCGGTTGCGGTCCAATGATATTGCACCTGAAGTTCGATCGTACCATCGGCTGCTTGTCTAACAGGGCAAGGGACGTGTTCTGCGATGTCGTGTACTCTTTCTGGACGAAGCACAGACCTCGATACGAACCGGCGCCTGCCGGATTCAGTGTGTTCTATGCCGGAGATGACAGCAGCACCAAGCAGAACGCAGGATCTGGCAGCCGCGCGGACGAACCCGTTCGACTTGTTGACGGGCGTGATCCCGACTGCCGAAGACGGAATGATATGCTTCTTATGGCCGTCTTCGAGGACATGGTCCACGACGGCTGCACCGAACATGCACGAAAGATTGACCTCATCCACCACGAGCGTCAGGAGCGTCACGAGCACCACGACACGCCACGACCGGGGAGAGGGACTTGTCTTGGACCGCGGGAATGTGGAATCACGGCATTACGGCTGGATTTCTACTGCATGATCGAGTGTCCGTGCAGGATGGACGGAAAACGCTTTCTCAGACGGGTCTACTCGTTTCTGACGGAGCACAGGCCTCAGGGCGGCTTCACGGGAGACGGCGTCCACGTAAAGTACACGGTGGACGATGCGGGTGACGTGGACACGGCAGGACGCTGTAGCCAGTTCTTGAACATCGTTTATCCCGAAGCCGCCGACGAGAATTCTAAGAGTCGCGATCGAGAGGTACTCACCAGAGCGTACCAGACACTTGTAGAGCGGGGTTACGGCTGGAAGAGACAAGAAGTTCGCCTCGTTCCCAAGTACCGCAGCAGGGACACGATCGCACGGGACTTGCGGTCGCCGACGACGACGACGATCGACGGCGGGGAGCGCGAAGGCACGGGCGGAGACGGGGAGCACTAAAAGGGGTTCTTCAGTGCGGACGACCGCAACGGCAGGTCATGTAGCAGACCGCACCACAACAAAGCTCTGTCCTGGCCCTTGTCAGACACAGCAAGCATTCATAGACCGGGGTCTTTCGTCTCGCGCGTCTACAGATCCGAAGTGGTGCTGTCGCGCCGATCCTGTCCCTGACGCATCCGTGAGCATGACCACCCCCAATTCTACACCATATGCTGCCATAGGAAATGGAGGACACCTTCTCGTCGGCCGTGGGTTCTTCATGGCGCCGAGCTGTGATGCATCTCGCGTGCTGGGTATGGGACAGCATCGCAGGGGTATGCATGATCGGTATCTGCGCAAGCGAGCCGTTTGATGTGAGCGCTTCGTTTACAAGAAATCTCTGCCGTGCGGGACCGTCGAAGTTGAGGCGTGAGCCAAAGCCGTGACGGTGGTCGGACTCACTCCGGCAACGAATGTCGGTCCGAGCGCGTTGAGTTCGTAGGCATTAGCGAAAATGGGCGCGTCGCCTCAGATCGCTTTCAACAGACCTGCACGCAAGCGCGTTCGCTTGCGATCGTAGTTGCAGCGGCGAACCTCTCGACGCGGTAGGGTATCTCTTCCGGAACACTCGATGTCAGCACGCCGCTGTCAATTTCTCAATGGCCCAGCCGCACGCAGCTTGCTGGAACTTGCTGTATGCGATCGCCTGACTGGCCATGCGCTGGCCGGGAAGAGACAGGCTATGCGGTTCACGGAGAAGAGCTCGCACGGCTGCTTTCTTCTGCTCGTACTCCATCACCCTCTTTTGGAGCAACGCCAATGGTTTTGTCCATTCTCTCTTCTGCCGGCTGACGATCTCTCGCGCCATAGATGTGGTGCCCTGCGCGGGGGAGGTATTGAACAAAGGCTTGACCTCCGCGCTGGGTGCAAGGGTCTCAGCAAGGAGCGCGCGCCAGACTTCGGGCACGATGCGCGACGGCAGCGGCTCGCCACACATGGTATAAGCTGCGAAGACGATGGCATATATTCCGCAATCATCGCTGTTGTCCTGTTTGAGCTGGCTGCGGCCTGCCGATCTTCTCCAGCCTCGTCCTGGAAGCGAGGGAGCGAGAGCAACGACCCGATCGAACGTGCCGTCGATGTAACTTTCGCGGTGTAGAGGGTCATATAGGCACACCTCTCCGGTGGCCGTGAAAGTGATACCCACGGTCCAGTGGGAGCTGTGCCAATTCACAAAAACAACGATGTCCTGATGAGAAGATTCCAAGCGTCGCCGTGGCGACCCACCTCCGGTGACCACGACGGGCTCCGGAACGTGCCAGACCTTGCCACTCGGATTGAACAGTGCGGCTCCGTGCAGCACGGCTGTCGTGGTCAGCCACTGTCCATCGGCGAGCGACCGTACGGCACTCTGTTTGCCGGGATCTTCCGTTGCTTCCGTCCATGGCGGATCCGGACGACTTGTCAAGTCGATGCACGCCGAATCCTCGAACGAAGGCAGTCCGCTTCCGTGACTCGAGCTGGCCGTCACTGCGGGTGTTCTGTATTGGGTCGCGCCCCGATCCGGCGTTGTCTCTCGCCATCGCGTACGCGTATTCGGGATCAGCTGCTTGCGTACACCTGTAGCACCCTTCGACGGTATGACAATCGAAGAGGTGTCAGGCTGGTGAACGTCCGTGCTAACGAGAACATCCGGACTGCTCCACGAAGAACCATCGTCGCCGTCCGGGTTCACGCTCGATGGTGACGAGGAGCCACGTTCTGTGCCGATCTCCGTGGTGTACCTCGAGCCATCGCTCGAATCGTCTGCTTGCCGCGGCACACCTCGGGACGCCGACGTTCGACGGCGTGCGCACATGCATTGCGGCTCCTTCCTATTTCTGCCCTCGCTACCGCTGTCGTCTCCGGCGGTGCGTACCGGTCGCTTCCTCTTTTTGCTGCGACACTCAGAAGACTTCCTCCGGGACTCGTCCACGCTCTCGTGCTCGAACATCTGGGGCGAATCGAGGGCTGACTGGCGCTCACCAGGGCACTTATCTCTCCCCGCTGATCGAGCAGCGATGATCGAGGCATGGTCCTTCCATACTGCACTAGCGTTGAGCTCCGCGAGTGCTTGGCGCGCATCATGTGCTTGCAGCCTGGGGCTTTTCGTGACACCCTGCTTTCCCTTCGGGGCACTCTGTCGCTTGTCGCACTCTCTGTCCACCAGCCGTTTGGCGATACGGAAGGCCACAAGACGCCGAGGGTCTCCATCGGCCTCGCACTCGCGGCCGTCGTCGCGGTCTTCTCCGAGCCCACCCGCCAGGATCTTTCGGTAAACATCTCGGAAGCTCGTCACGAACGAACGGGACTTCAACGGCTCCGCACCCAAGATAGCGGAGATCTCTAGACGTGACAGGCGAGTTTCGGCGCAGAAGCTCTTGACAAGCGCCAGGCATCTTCCTCTTTCGCTCGCCCCCGACGCAGGACAATCCTCCGACAGCTGCAGCGCGTTGCTTCGGGGTTTCGTCTCACAGCGTGATCGAGCGTCTGCTGCGACTTGCGGACGAGACATGATGTGGTCCCCGGTGGATCTTGCACTCCTTTCACCCGAACCTCAAGGAGCTGGAATAGGTAGAGCTGCGGGAGGAGAGGCTCGCTGGGTTGCCCGGAAGCAGATACGACGAAGCAAAAGACAACTGCTCGCTGTGGGGAGATGTCCGGACTGCGTCCAGGCGGCCATTGTCGCAATGCTCTCAACCTGTGGTGAGAGGACGATGGCGGCTGCAAAGGGGCGACTGGGCGCACACATGGCCGCGTCCTGCACGCACGCACGATCGTATCGCACGTTCTCTTTGGAGCAGTAGCCAGTCCTGTGGCCGATCCCTTGCTGATATTCATATCGCCTCCGTCAAGGGGGTTGGTAATGACGGTTGGCGACGGTTGGCGACCGGTCGCGACCGGTGGCGACCGGTAGCGACGGGTCGCGACCAATCACGATCGGTTGGTGATCATTAGTGCCGCAGGGAACGCCGCAATGTCGTTTCATATTGGGCCACCAGTCCTTCGCTCCTCCAGTACCGCCGTGGAGGATCCATGACATCTTCGCGCTCCCACAGCCTGCGGATCGCGCAGTATCGATGCCGTGTACGTCGGGTGACTGTCAGTGGTTTTGACAGTGGTAATTGACCTGGTTGCGTCTAACGACGCCCACTTCGTGGTGGGTGTGCGGGTAACACGATATATGCCTGTAAAGACCATCCATTTCACCACGTCTTTCGTTGACATCGCAGCCGGCAGCTCCTCTACTGGCAGGCTGCGAAACGATGAAGAGATCCCCGCACGGTCGCTGCTGAGCGCACCCCCGCAGGCATGCTTCCACTAGCTGGGGCGGAGAGACGTTGAGCTCGGGACCGTTGTGTGTATCCCGAGGTGGACTGGTGTGTATGCATGCCTTGAACGCTAGCGAGGTATTGTAGAGCGGTCGAGCGTTTGGTTCTCATTCAGACGTCTGTCGAGAACGAGATCTCTCATGCGCATGGGGTACGGTGCGCTAGTTAAGCTCGCAATACATCGATGTCCGCTCAAACGGAAGACGTGAATGGACGGAAGAAAGGGCACGGCTGAGTATGAGTGGTGCAACTGCGCCAAGTGCAGTATACAAAGCGTGTGCGTGCGGCCGTGTGACACCGCTGCGGCAGTGCCGAGGTCACTTCCTTTTTGGCCCGCGTGTCCATTGCGATATGTGCGGAGGAGGGATAGCGTATCGAGCTGCCACGATGCGAGGGGTGCACAGTACAGTCATCTGCAAATTTGATGCACACATCACCTCTCTCTCAGATGTATAAGTTTATGTAGACGCGAACCCGCATTAGGCTTAGCTCACTTGGGTCTTGGTGGTCTCCCGGCCAAGCTTCTGGAGTGAAAGAGTAGAGTTGGTGATGGGTTGGCTTCTCTGTGATGTACATCGAAGTACTGTACAGTACAGCGACGTGGTACCTCAGCTAGCACATACAAGGCGAAAAATGAGTGGATCTTCTGTATTCCCATGGTATCCTGCTATCCCGAAGTACCACCCGCCAGAAAGCTACCCATTTTCAATCAGTAGTCGTCGACTCCTCACATTGGCTTTCGACATTGCGTCGCTACACTGCAGTACACTTTGTATCAAAGGACGCTTTTTGGCATCTTGTTGCTATCATGTATCCTTCCAGGCTATATCCGACATTGCATGCCTTTAGAAGCGACGGAGGCATGCACTGAGGCGTATGGCTGTGTTCAAAGCGTAGGGCCATCCACAGAGCATCGGAATTCTGGCCTCGTCATCATTGTGAACATGATATTGCTTTGTGAACAGTATAGATAACCCAAGCAGCAGCATCCTTAAGCTCGCACATCAATGGCAGGAATGCGACAAGCGTACAGCAAGTAGAAAGCAGTTTCCGCAAGGGAACTTGCCATCACGCTTGCAACCGTTAGGAACCCGCAATATTGCGGCAAAAATGCCAGCGGATATTGTGGCCAATTCACAAAGCTCATTACAAATGCGCCCTTAGAAAAGCAAGCTGGCGGCCCGCCTAGGAAGACGAGAATCGGAACCCGTATGAGAACGATATCTGCTTGTTGTTTGCTGGTTAGTTTGCTCATATCTGAGATTTACGAAACAAACAGTCAGCTCACGGGAGACGGCATTAGGAGACTTACGCACAGACAGTTGCAGGAGTACCGGGCACTTATCGACATGTGATTCACGCTACGACCAACGACCGAGAGTTTGAAGTCGCCGGTCCAGAGTGGCTTGCAGGACACCGAATGGAGCAACACCGAGACCGCCGAATCTTTGATGCATCTGTGATATTCCGTCTTCCTACCCGAGCCCCTCGTGGATCGATGCCGACGTCCAGTGGAGCCTTTGTTCTCCGAGGTCCGCTATAACATCAAGGACAAGTGCACAGACGCATTGATTGGGAAGACATGGACATTCAGTGCTCAGACCAGCGTACGCCTTGTCTTGAGCAAACAACTCTGGCTCGCCCTCGAAAACTACTTCGACGCTGTCGCGCTGTCCCAGGAAGAGGCCCATCGTTCCAGGACGTCGGTTGCTCTTGCGCTCGAGGGGAAAGACTTCCGGGATTGATGATTCTTTAAGGATGCCACCAGCTTTTGCAAGGGTGGTCTATTTCTTCCCTTCGGATACCCGCGTGGCTCATTCCTAGTTCCAAATTCGTAAGTGAATCTCAACTTCTGAGTCATTATGCGCTCATTCGATACAGCACACTCTTGCGGAACCCAAATTACTGGGACATGGACGATAAAAGTGATCTCCAGGATGGCTGGGCGCATCTGCATCAGAGAACCCACGTGATTGCGTGGAGCGATCATCAAGCGGCCCGGATCGGCCCGGCTCTGGACCTGCGGGGTTTGTTTACTCGTGGTGAGGTCCGACTTCTGGAGAATGGTCTGACATGCTTCCTCCTATGCAAATGTTCACCACCCCTCTAGACTCGACCACGCGCATCGAAACCTGGCTCGAAGGTGCCTCTAGTCCGCAAGCAGTCACTTACGAACCTTTTCATCGGAAGCGCAAACGGCCACTCGATGAAATGAGCAGCAACATCCCAACACCGAAGCGCGACCACGCGAATGCTCCCACCACCTCCTTATCAAACGACGAAAACCAGACGCCACGACCATCTCAACGTCCGTTGACGTATGCGAATAGTCCTCCGCCCACCCATAGTTACCACCCTGTTTCGGCCTCTGGATCTTCCCAAACATCATGGGCAAGCAGCGATGGCAGGAAGCGAAAACGAGGAGGAAGCCCTGCAAAAAAGATGGCTGGCTTGAGGTACGCCACGTATCCGACAACACAAGAGCGTTTCAGCAGGTTGGCAGATCTCCGCAGTGACGTGCGGAAGTTGGCGGCTACAATGCAGAGGCTTGGAAAAGGTGTACGAGTCATCCCATACAAATACAATGAGTGGTTAGCAGAACTTGGAAACGGTGATCACGATGACTTTCTGATGCTTGATCAAGAAGGCGAGTCCGAGAGCTTCGGAGGAACGCCTACACTGGACATCGCACGTCGGATTATGAGTCATGCAAGTCGGAATGATAAGCTGGGGTGTGCAGAGGCTGCATGGAATGCTAGTGTACACAGCACGATGCTTGACGAAGCTTGGCATTACTCAGCGCACCGGGATGCAACCAGATGGGACAGTATGTGAGTATTAGTCCGCCTCTGCCATGCATTACGCCGCAACTGATCAGTTGCAGAACTACTGCAGCAATTGAACCTCAAGAGCTTGTCCCCGAAATGACGCAGCGTGAGCGAGTGCGATCGAAGAAGGCTGATTTTGCGATCTCGCTTGAACTTGGGGAAGAGACCGAACGTCAACTTGCGCAATCAAGCATACAACTCAATCAGACCACCTACGAAGGCATTCGGTTCAACCCTATCGCGGTGAGTATCGAGACGAAACTGCCGGGTGAAGGCGGTTCCGATGCGAAGCTGCAGCTTGCAACGTGGAGTTGTTCACAAATTGCAAAGCTCCGGGAACTGCTAGCACTTGCCGGCAATAGGGATTGTCCTATTCCACCTCTACCCTTGATAATCATTCAAGGCCACGACTGGCATTTCCTATGCCTAGAAGATCGTCGAGATTGTGCGGTACGTAAACATCTACGCATGCGCTCACTCTTTGTATCCAAGTACTAAACAAAGACAGATACTTTGGAACGGAATCACTTTCGGTTCCACAGCCCATCCTTTGGGAACGTACCAGGTTGTCAAAGGGCTGCAATTCCTTATAGATTGGGCACAAACGGTATACCGACCGTGGTTCGAGGAGAAGATCCTTACGCCCTTGCTAAGTTCCTCGGGCCGTGGTTAGGGACGAGGATTAGCTTTCAACTTACACAATGCGTTGCGCCTCCAAGGTCATCGAATTGGTCTCCTCAAAGACACTCTCTGTACGCTGTAGCTTATTGTGGCATTGTCGAGCGGCATGCGCCGGGAGGTTCGTCATATCAAACGCATCGAGTGTTTGTTCGCTGTCGTTTCGGAATCAGAAAGCAGCGAAGGTCAGAGCGAGGCGATACAATGGTGTGGTTTGACTGATCGCCACAGTGATGTGAAACCGAGTCGTATCAATACTCAAGCCACACCTTGGAAAGTCATGGAATGTGGAAGAGCACAAGCAGCGGTCAAGTTCGCACCGACCGGTCGCCAGTGGCGATATTCGCCTCGTGAGGCCATCGCAAAGTTTGAGTCACTGACATAGTGACCATGGCCGCGGCAGAGGTGTCTCCTGGAGCTCATGGCTCGTACAAAGCCCAAGCAGTGGCATGGCGGTAAACGAACCTCCAGCTGAGACGGGCGCTTTTGCAGGAGCGCCGATAGATCGGCAAATTGCGACTATGATGCAGGGACCTTCACCACAGGTACCTGGGCCCGTCGAAACACCGTCCTTGCGGCCTGACTCCATGCAGGCCGTGCACACGTGATATGCTTGTCTACCACCGTCACCCAAATCACGTGCACGGAGCTTCAACCGTGAACCAATCTACGGCATTATGGGTATCTGTCTCATTCTCTACCTCAGTGGCTATAGGTCCGGACCCTCGAGCATGGTCGTGCGCATGAGGCACGGATGTCGCTGCCTTGAACATGGGCATGCTTTAGAACTACGTCCTTGCCGTGCCTTCGCGTACACTGGACCCCGATGGTGAAGGACTGCGCCGCTCCCTTCGGGCATGCAGAGACGCTCGCCCTCCTACGCCGCCTACTGGGTGTGTCGCGGACCTGCGTCGGGTGCTGATACCCACAGTGGCTGCGTGGGAGTGGGTGCTACCTGTGTCGTCGTGCATACCGGGTGACGCGCCTTCGGCATGGTCTTCGCCTTGTGCACGCTTCAGCTGTAATGCATTATGTTGGCCCGTAGCCGTGCCGTTCTGGCCTTCCGCTGAGCCACCTGGAGCCTCACCCTCTCGGAGTTGTCTATCGGCGTGCCCAATGCCACTTCGATCTGGCGACGAGGACTGGGGCACATCATCGGTGACTTCTTCCGGGATGGTGGGGTTGGAGGGACCAAGCCATGCACCCTGCGAGTATGACTGAGTACGTTGAAGTGCTAGGGCGAGTTGTCAGTAGAGACTCAAATCATGGAGTCATTCGATGTAGAACAACTCATTGCGCTGCGTTGCGGGAATTGCTTCCAATGGAACACGTTTGCAGACACGGGTCTACTTGGGTGTCGGAGGCGTCGCTGGATCGATTGACGTCGAGTCGGGTGACGCCGAAGAGGCACAATATTGTCACACAATGGTGCAAGTTGCCCGATCGTGTGGAGCGAGCAGCGCTGTGGAAGTGACCTGATGCACTGGAACGAGAGTAACACGGCTGAGCACGGGGTTTGTCCTGGCGCCATGTACGATGAGGCTTCGACGCTTGATGGTCGACCCCCGCCAGCCGCCCCCGTTGGGGTGCTCAACAGCACGGTACCCTCTCGTGGAAGACTTCAAGCATTAGACTTCATGACTTCCCGGCCTCGAGACACCTTTTCCAATGGCCTCTTGAGGTAGTGTCGGATGGCAAAGCTCCACACTGAACCCACTGCAGCTGCTGCTGTCGCTTCCGCTGTGATCGAATCCTCCGGTCTCTATCAGATACCACTCGGCTTCGCGTCATATATGGCACCTCCTGTAACCAGGAATATCTCTCTCCTACCGAGGCATACCGGACGTAGGGCAGCACCTCGCCTAGGGGCAGTGCGTTAGCCCTTCTGAAGACTTCATTTCACATTCGCAGGACCTGTCAGCAGCTATTACGGCCGCTGGAAAGAGCGCTCTCGCGACCACCTCGTTCTCTTGTAATATGATCTGTTGGGATCGGATCGTGCTGGTGGGCCTCTTCGCCGTACACACGCACGCTCGCCGCTGGGTGGAGGCCCCGCGCTTTTCATGCCCAGCGAACAGCGAGGCACGATGTTATCCTGCGCAAGAGAACGGATATGATTGGGAAGGACTGAGAAGCGGCCCCTTCGAGAAGTACGGCAGCAACACGTTCCAGGGCTTTACCTACTCAGCTCTACAGCGAGACCAGAGCGCCACGAATATCAGCAGACTTCGTTCCGGCTTCATCACGACGAATTTGGACCGCTCCCCCACCATGTCGATCGACGGTGAGACTCCATTTGTCGTGGACCGCATCGAGCTCGCGACCGGCCACGACGCGGAGATTGTCTTTCACTACACAATGCCGGACGGCTCCACGTGTGTCGAAGTGGCAGAGGTGTTAGAGAAGGGATCTACGATCCGGAATGTGCAGTGTGGTGGTGTGTACAATGACTCGCGGCCGTCTGTTCCTTTGCTGACATCCGCACACCAGGTGCCACGAGCGTCATGTTCAAACCTGGGAGACACACTCCCCCCGCAACCCCCCTCAGCATCTTCTCCATCTCATTCCACTGCGAGCCGCCTGCCGTTCTTGCGACGGCAAGCACAACAGCGACGAGATGGCAAGAGCACGGGACACGGAAAGGACCAGTCTTCCCCGCAATACATAATCTCTCCTATCCTGTCTTTTCCCATCCAAGCGGCCACATGTCCCATAGTGGCGGCGGCGGCGACGAGAGTAGGGCTGTCATCGGCCCACGCACGAACTCGACTCGAGGCTCCTGCAGCGGTGGTAGCTACGAGCACGTGATGGACAAGACGAGCGAGGACGTGGCATGTACGAGCTCCTCGACGGATACGTCCGCTCCACGCAGCGCGTACGGTCGAGGCGGAACCCCGATCACCACTTGTCCACGTACTGAACAGCCGGGAGGTCTGCTTTCCAGCCAGCACGCAATTTCCGATGCTTCGTGCCTCCCTGTAGCAACGATGCCCTCCGCCACCAGCAGACGTGAGGCCAGTACTTCACCCAGTCCGAGCTGGTATCCGTTCGCAAGCGACCCCGATGTCCTCCCCCGCTGTCTCAATACATGGCTGTTCACGACAGGGTGTAGAGACAATACGGACGTGGACTGTTTTTGCCAGCAGGAGCACTATATGGTGAACGCCATGGGATGTGTGAATGCCTGGTCAGCCTCCGACGAAGAGGTCGGCCACGCCGCGGCATACCTCATGAGCATCTGCGCAGACCATACGGAATTCTTCCCTGCCATCCTTCAAGCTTGTCCTGCCACCATCTCGCCAGCGCAGATGTGGGACCTGCCGGACGATGTCACAGCCACGACCAGTCGTGCGCGGTGGGTCACTGTGGTCGTGTCCATGGATTCGCCTTCGTCGCCAAGCAAGGACATCACGCTTCCCGTTGTCGAGCCCACTTGCGCAGTCGACTACGCAACGATGGTGGCGACCACTATCACTGTGCCTAGGCTGCGCTTCGCCACGGCGACGATCGCACCATCTCACGATACAGTCGCTCCCGTAACCGGAAGATACACATCGCAGCGTCACGATTCGACGGAGGGCTATAGATCGTGGGCACATCAGTGGATGAATGGCAGCACCAATGCGAGAAGTTCCGGGACAGCCACACCGGGGACTGCGGTTTCCGGCAGCGGCGCGAGGCACACCGCGATCACGTCGATCGTACCGGCGATTGGAGGAGCTGGTAGAGTCTGGACTAGCGCTACGCGTACGATGATGAGAGTGGGGTTTGTAGTTATGGCTTTGCTTCACATTCATGGTGTGTAGATTATTGGAGCGCGTTTCACAGAGGCAGCCACACAGCGTAGCCGAGCATCCGGTGCTGTTGGAGCCGTCGTGAATTCACTTAATTGCCCTCTGTCCCTGCAGGGCGGCTGGTAACGCTGCAACCGCCGTCACATTCAGTCGAGCGTGCGGCATGCGTGGTGGAGGCCCGCGAGAGAGGACTGCATTTCCGGCATAAGCTATATATTTGATCCTGGCCCCTCGTCTATAGATGGTCCACTCCTCATCCTCAACCCTCCGCTTTCCGCATCTCAGCGAGCGCGATGTTCTACTGGTCGATGTGCACAATGAACTCTCTATGGCTCTGCGCCCCACCCATCTATCCTACTCCCAGAGCATGTGACGGTGAGAACACTGCTCTAGGGTGACTGAAGGCTCAACAGCCCTCCGAGGCCTGCCATCCAACGGCAATGCTACACTTTGTCGAATCGAACTCCGCACGGGTGTGCAAAACTACAGCTGCACCAGCACGACCGCCAGTCCTCAAGTGCTCGGCGCCATTGCTACCCTCTTCGACATCACCGAACACAGAAAGCAGTGCGCAGGCCGGAGGACGACGGCGCTCGCCGCGGAACATCTGCAATCGTACGACCGACTGGGGTGCAAAGAATCGCAGGACCTGGACGCGGACGAGTGCGAGAACGGAGCGAACCCGTGATCGTTCGACCTCCTCGGCCACCACTGGTTTGGCATCGTGGAAGGCAGGGGAACGGCCCGTTTAGGGTTACTTTCCGGCCGTGGCTTCCTCTGTGGCTAGAGGACAGCGGCCATGCCCGCGCCAGCGGGAGCTTATGACGGTGGGCAGCTTGGTTTCGGCGCCGTCGACATGCTCTTCTTGCCCAGCGATGGCTCACCGATGACCGAAGGATTCACCGGAGTGTACCGAGTTCGTACTGCAGGTGGAGCGTCCGTCAACATGGCTGTCGCAGTGAGAGAGGCCGCCTCACCTTCAAAAGTGCTGCCGAAGGTTGGATTTCTAGATAACGATGGTCGTTGCCAACACAATGCTGCGATCGGGGCACCGTGGCCGTGGTGCTCGTCAGTCACCGCGCGTTTGGCATAGCTGAGAGTCGTCGTATCGGTCAATCCAAGTTCCGTTCTAGAACATCTACGGCGACGCAACCCCTTCTCGCAGAAGCCAACAACAACCTTAATGGTTCTGAACAACGCAGACCTGTTCACAGTCAAGACGCTTAGGAAGGTCTTGCTTGGTTGATTGATCAAGACAGTCAGACAGCTCAGCCATCTTGATTGACGTCTTGCAAGCATCTATATCCTATGTGTACCTTTCGAGTGCGATAGTTCTTGGCAGCCTCAATCTCCCGAATACATATCTTATCTAATCTTGATCTGGTCGGATTATAATGTTTACGCTACTCTACGAATCTATCGTAATACTAGGGCGTCAGTATGACTTTCTAGATATGCGATATCAACAATTTGACGGCTGTGATAAGACTTTATAGGTTCTTGGCGTGATCTTGGCGTGTTTTGCAATCAATCATGACAAGAGGGCTAGTTTTGCAATTAATCAAGACGAGACGGTATGCCGATTTCTAATCGCTCAATCAAGACAAGACGGAGGCCTCGTCTTGTGCTGTTTTGATTGTGAATAGCTCTGGAACAACGTCAACGATTGCCTGATGTCCGTCGAGAAGGGGGAGCCCGCATTACGTCGCATGTGCGCGATCAGGAGACTCGTCGGCGTGCTCACGTATGCCCTTGCCGCGGCTGTGCTGTCGTGCTACCGTGGATGTCGTTCGAATGCGCTGGAGGATGCTAAAACGTCGCCAGCAGGCATCGGACCTCCTCTGCTGTACTTCTCGGAGCAGCAGTCGCTCTGCGAGGTGGACTGTCCGAGACGTAGTGTGGCGCCAATACGTTGAGCAAGGGCAAAGACCGAGAGGGGTCGCCAGTCGTCAGTGTCAGCGCGCGCACATCAGCCGTTCATTCGAGCCTCGATGTCGTAGCTCCACTCGGCCCGTTCCAACGGTCGCGGGGACATATCTGGCGTCGCGCCAGTGCTCACCTCAGACCTGCACTCTTCTCCCAGTCGTCTTTCCACCTCCACGTGCAACGGGCCTGACGTCGACGTGGTACTTCAATCAAGAATTTCCGTACATCCGGTGGACTGATTGATGGCACCACGGGGATGTACAAGATCAACCAAGACGACAGCGCATCATCGGAGCGAAGCATAAGTCTGCCCGAATGCGAAGGCGGCCGATGTGCGGCCACCGACGGCAGGGTATGGTGTTGCGTCGACTGTGATAGCTTCTACTGCGAGTAGGGATCCCCACGACTGCTGTCGTTCGCCAATATGTCCCCGCACAGCTAATGACGGTTGTATCAAGGACATGCTGGCCCTGGCAGGGACCCCACAAGGCGAACAAAAAAGGTCGCGATGGCCTGCCCCACGAGAAGGCAGATCCTGCCCAGGTGCAACGGCTGCGCAACATTCTGACGCCACCGGACGACAAGCAGGAGATCTGGAGGCGGCACCGCGAGGACAAGACGACCAAATGGTTCGGCGTGGTACGCGACCCGGCCGGTCGACCGTACCTGGAGGACTACGGACGCTATGCGAGTCTACGGATGACGCGGCTGAAGGTCGCCGGCCGTCAACAATCTCCACAGCTTGTCTCATTCATCGGCGTGACGAACGCCGGAAAGTCGAGCTTGATCAGCATGTTGATCCAACACGAGTCGGTTCATCATGAAGACCACTTTCCTTCTCCGGTCGTCGGCAGCACGACACACGACAGCGTGCCCACGTCTGGCGATGTTCATCTGTACTTAGATCCACTACGGTCCAACGACGACCGACCCATCATGTACGCCGACTGCGAAGGTTTCGAGGGTGGGGAAAAGCCCCCCATGGGCTCGCAGGAGCACATTCGCATCAGTCAAGGCCATGGCGATGACGACCTGGATGCTTACAGGCGACCGATACGCTGGGCGAACAGGGACGACTTTCGCCAACGCGAGTATGCTGTCACTGCGCTGTACCCTCGCTTACTGTATACGTTCTCTGACTGCGTGGTGTTCGTACTGCGTAATCCCAAGACCTTCCAGTCTTCCGTGCTCACGAGACTCCTGGAGTGGGGCGCGACCGCTATGGAAAGATCGATCAACCAGCCGACGCTGCCGCATTGCGTCATCGTCCTCAATGGTAGCGATCCTGCCCTCCCACCCGAAGAATGGGACGTGGGTACGGCCCGGAGGAGCTTGCTCTCGACGCTCGACGGCGCACTAGACCGCGTGCCACGCTTCCGCGAGCTCGCTGCCCTCTGGCGAGCACGTGGTTACCACGTGGAAACCGCAGAAGAACTCATTCTACGCTACTATGGCTCTTTCCAAGTGGTCCGGGTTCCTCTTCACCCGCACTACGGTGTGATGGATGAGCAGATCGCGAAGCTTCGAGCGCTAGTCCACGAGGCCTGTGAGCGGTCATGGCTCGCCAAGTGGGCCGCCAATCTGGACCTGGACGCCGACGAATGGCACACGTATCTGCAGAGCGGATTCGATCACTTCACGGCCCACATCGACATTCCCTTCGACCTGATGCAGACCTCTTTGATGCGGAATCCCATCCCCTCGAACTTCAGCGACCACGTCCTGCAGTTGTGCAAGGCCCTCTCCGCTCCTTCTGAGACGCCGAAGCGGAAGACGGTGACACGGACATTCGACCGGATGGCGAAGATGGTTGCGTCGTGCGTGATGATGTACTGCGTGCGCTCCAAGAAAGGACGCTTCTTTCACCAGTCCCTCGGCGATGTCCCGAACGGCCTCCGGCGCGCTATCGACATCTACCGCGAACGTTACTCCCGCTGCTTGTACAGAAGCCCGGACGGGACGCGAGCCTGCATGCTGATGCGCGCTGGCCATAGTGCTAAGGGCCACCAGGATCTCCTCGGCGTGATCGCTCCGGGAGATCACCAGGCCGTCCTGGGCGAAAACTTCGGCCTTTCATGGACTGCACAGATCGAAGCCACGCTGACAGAGTTCTCGGAAGTGTGCACAAAGGCGAGGATCGACTCCTTGGGGGGGAGGGAGCGGACAGAAGAGCAGACGGCTCTGCAACTACACAAGTCCAATACGAAGGACTTCTTCGACGACGTCGGATCGGATGTCACGAGCCACGTGACGTGCTTTGCGTGTCTCATGGACACCCCTGAGCACATCCTTCCGTGCGGTCATGTCCTCTGCACCGCATGCGTTGGTGCGTGGGGCCACGCATACCGATGTTCGGTAGCGATCGACTTCTGCCCCGTGCACTCCGACTACGTGGACCCGGTCGCGATCTTCCCTGTCAAACCGGCCGGCGCCGGAGTCCGCATCCTCGCTTTGGAAGGCGGAGGGGTGCGCGGTGTGATACAGCTCGAGTTCTTCGCCGCGATCGAGCGTGCAATGGGGAACCACATGGCAGTACAGAAGTTCTTCGACCTCATCGTGGGCACGGGCACGGGAGGGCTGGTGGCAACGATTCTGAGCGCAGAAGGACAGAGTGTTCAAGAAGGTCGAAACACTTTCATTGCGATTTGCGAGAGGGCATATGGCAAAAAACAGCACATGCTCTCTGGTTGGCTGCTGGGCTCGACGACAAAATCGCAATATGCAGCGGAGCCATTGTACGAGGCCACAAAAGAAGCCTTCGCGGATGCCCTATTCTTCGGATCTCCTGGACACTTTTCGCCGGGCTCGAGGGTGGCCATTCCGTGTGTGAGTGAGGGAAGGGATCAGACGGTGGTCCTCGCAAATTATCGCAGAGCCCCGGACGACACGACGCCGTATACGCTGCATAGACCTCACGGTCCTGAAACAGAGCTGAAGGTCTGGGAGTGTGTCTGCGCGGGAATGGCGAACACGACTCACTTCAAGCCGTTTTCGAGCGGCGATCATCTCCTCGTCGAGGTGGGTGTCACCGAGCTCTTCAAATTTGCTAAAAGAGAGGCCAGGGCCACCTGGCCTGACCGCGAAGAGCCGGACATATTTCTATCCATCAGCACAGAGGGCCGGTCTGCGCGTTCAAGCACCCCAACGCACGGCTCCCAGTTCTCAAACTTGGAGCGACTACTCTCGCCGTACCTACGACACGCTCACGGGAAAGTCTGCGAAGGAAAGGCGGCACAAGCGGCCTGTCAGGAAGATCGTTCCGAGCGACGTGTCAGGCGCCAGCGAGAGAATGGAGACTGGGAGATGCGCCTCCACGTCCCACTGGACGAGAGTCTTCCGCCAGCGGATAGCGTGGCGGACTGCGAGTCGCTCCGAGACACGGTCCGGAAACGCCTGCAACAGCCTTATTTGCTCGCAGCTGTACAACGCGTGGCGAGCTATCTCCTCGCAACATATTTTTATCTCCATGTCGAATCGGACGTCAGCGACCGCAGTCCAGGATCAGCGTATATCGCTTGCCGTCGGGACGACGGTCATCCCGAAACGATGAAGCTCGGCAAGATCCTGAGGGAGAAGTGGACCAGAGACTTCAGTCCGTATTTCTGTTCGCCTGCTTTACGAGACGAACAAGGCGAACCCTTCAAGTTCGATCTGTCGCACGATATACTCACACATATGGCACAGCACGGGGAACTTGCCCCAAACAAGGTTCCCTTGGATCGATTGCTGCGGGGCGAAGAGTCGGTTTCGGTGTACCTTGTGCTCTCCCCGAAAGGCGACCGCAAATTCCCCATCAGTGGCATGCCCTACGTCATCCGACCTCGGGCGTGGAAGCCCGACCACTTCAACGAAACGGATCAGCCCGTTCGGGACGGGTACGGGCACTCCCGTACATCGTCTCATAGTTCTGTGGCCACCGGACCTCCACACCGTCAGACGGTCTTTGACTCGCCTGGGGAAAGCCATCGGAGCCGGCTCAGCTCGTCAAGCAGTATGTGGAGCAGGAGCCGGCCGAGTCGGCACTCCACGACCGGGCCCGAAGACGTGCGGAGGAGCGAGGAGAACATCGGACATGTCGACGACACGTCCGTCGAGATGACGCCCGGCGCGGCCGATGAGCGCGGTCAAAGATCATCGCTGACCAACGCCAGAAGTTGTCAGCGGCACAGGCGGCCAGACCCTGCCTCGGGCTCTAGGAGCGCACGCAGACATTCCGCCGTCGAAGGCGAAGCACTTCCGCCTCGCGAGCCGACCAGAGCTGAGACTTCACGACCATGGCGAGGTGGTGGACTGCATGCATTCTCACTCGCCGACGAACATGCCTCTCAGCGAGCAAGCGTACGCGAAATCGAGGGTGATATTAGGATCGGGCTCGACGACGCGATTGACAGAGCAATCAACGAGTTCGGAGCGCCACCGACGACCCGTTGACTGCCCCACCACACCGTGCAACCCTCCTAACAGAGCAGTATGAATACTGATCCCAACGATTCTGATGTGAAATGGCGTGAAGAACTGATGAAAGCAGGGGACCGAGGGAACCAAAGACCACACTGTATGTTCGAGTGCGCTGCCTTAGCGTAGTGACGGGGTTATACAGGTAACCGATACATCTCGGCTGATACCACACTGATGCGATCTTCAGAAATACAATGCCACACGCCGCATCCGGGGAATTCAAGGTGGGAAGTGGTACGCGAAGCGGTACGGCCACGGCCTTGTTTTTTGTGGGAGACAGCTCGGCTGCGTGATGGACGAGCATCACTTCACTCTGATGGATCTGACCGGTCGGGGCGGGCAGTGTACCGTCTTATGCCAACAAGATTCAGTATATGATCAGAGCTCAAGCAGCGAGCTCGCATGCATACTCGGAAGATGTACTCAGCTGTCTTGAAGGCAATTGCAATATGATACGGAGCCTGAGCCTGACGGGGTTCTGTGCCGTTGGACGAACGTCATGTTCGTCCCCTCCCCCTTATGAAACCCCCTAAAACCTTCCTTCTTCCTCTTGAGCACTCTTAGAACCCTCACCGTCGCCGGACCTTCTGTACTATAGCTTCACGGTCTCACGATCGCACAGGCCTTACCGTATCGATCATACGGAAGTCACCGAACGCGTGAACATATTTCGCCTCCTTCGTCCCATCACAATTCACTGCCAGCGTATCGACGTGACCCTTGCTAATCCTCCGCCGTCCCTTCTCTCCGTCGATGGAAAGGATCTGGATATCGCCTGCCAGCCGGGCAGGTGGCGTGCGGGCGGGCCGCCTGTCTGGTCTCGTTCTTCTGCTCTGGCCGTTGCTGCTGAGCTCTACCGTGGGGTCATCGGTCGACATGGAGCTCACGGCGGACTGGACTGCCAATGTCACCTTGGAGGTGGAAGATGTCCAAGTGGAGACCTCGAAGCCACCCCGGATACACGACGTACTGGTGAGGGCGGGCAGCATGTACAACTTTGAACCACGCCACGTAGAAGCAGAACCTGGAGACCTCGTGCGTTTCATACCCGTCGACGCAAACTGTACGGTAGTTGAATCCACGTTGATAAGCCCGTGCTCGACTCGTGGGAGCCTTGGTGCTCTCCCTCTCATGCGTAGTGGATCAGGTTGGAGCAATGTTGTGTCTGCCTACGTTGACACGATCGAGCCCCGATGGTTCTTCTCTCGGCAGAATCGAAGCACGTCGGCCATGCGTTGTACTCCAGAAGTGCTCTTCGCCATCAATCCTGGAAGTCTCTGGTCTGACTTCGAATGCAATGCGAAACGAAATCACACTTCCTTCACGAACGCAACGGGATCAGGCCGGTGGCACTACCCAAGCGCTGGAGCGCCAGCATCACCAAGCAACGGCACCGCTTTTCTTCCCACCGTGTCCTATCACTATGCTCCGTCCTCGTACGCGGCAAACCAAACCTCGTCGTCTGCTTACGCGTGGGTCACGACCATCGCAACCATCACTGCTTCCGCCGACCCTACGCCGGTATGGACGACTAGGACCAAGACGATAACCACAACGTTTCACATCGCAACATAGGAAACGGCACTCCTATGCCAGAGTACCCGACGCCGATCGCGCTGTCCGACAGCTGTATTGAGCACTCCCGTCTGTGTAGCCCGGGTGCACTAACGTTGAGGGCGTCCGCCATTACCAACAGCCTCTAAAGACCCTTCCCGGGCGGCTGTGCATACTCCGACCTAGTTTCTAACGACTCACAGCAGCCGGTACTGGGCGCTCTCGCGACTGGAGACAAACTAGTAGACTGTGTCGATTCCCATAAACTCGTGATGAGAGAATACATGATCACTTCACTTAACAACCGCTGCACACGTTCCAGAATCCCCCGCACTATCCCCGCGTGTCGTAGCTTTGCAACCGTTGACAAGATCAGTGCGCTCGCATGCGCAACGCCAAATAGCAGAACCCTCGATAGCCCGCAATAATCGCAATCATGATCCAGACGGACCGGTCGGCCGTCGTAGATGAGAACCCATACGTGCCCAAGACCGCCGCTCCTTCCATTTCGCACTCCGTACCAGAATTGCCTCCATAGATGCAGTCACAACCGCCGTCCGGAGTGCCCGGGCAGGTGTAGTTGCGGCTCTTGAACTCGTTGATCATCATACCCTGGAAGACATAGGACTGATAGTCGATGTAGTGGAACAGATACCGCCAGAAAGGATTCAGTGTCTGGGGCGGCACCAAGAACCCCCCGACGCACATCCAGAGTCCGTTGGCGAACGCTGTCCCTGCCAGGGCCACCACGAAGATCGGCATCAACGAGCTGACCAGCACGACCAGCGACTCCGCCGCGAGCAGGTCCAGGAACAGCCACATGGTCCACGTGAAAAAGGCTGCGGCGCCCGGTCTGAAGTTCGACATCCAGTACACCACGAGGGAGAACAAGAGGCTGATCAGGAACAGGTAGGGCACTCCGACGATGAAGTTGGCGACCACGAACGGGGCGGCACCGTACAGCCCGCTGGCGCGCTCCCGCAGGAAGACGGAATGATCCTCGAGAAATGCTGGTATGTACGCGACCGCCATGAAGGACATGAATGCGCCGCCGAAGAAGATGGCGTTGACGAACGATTGGACGTTACCCTGGGTGGGCTCGAGGCGTAGCCACACCGTGCCCATCAGCACCGCCAGTCCCAGGTACATGGCAAACCGTATGCCGTAGGCGACAACATCGCGATACGACTTGATGAACGACCGATGGATCAGCGCCGACAAGACTGCGAACGTGTCGCTCCTCCAACGATCTTCCAAGGCGATGAACCCGATGACTCCGCTCGCTTTTTCCTCTGTCAATTCTCGTCGGAGGTTCTGCAACTGCACGGACTTCTGCCAGCACTCTTTGGTCACCGCCTGCCGATGACGCTGCACCTCGGACACAAAGTCCGTGTTGATGGAATGAACCGCACACTCGGCCATGGTCATATCGTTGGGGATCTCATAACCGCTGTCCTGGAAGTACAGCTGCAGCTTCCGGACAGGACCGTTATATGCGACCCCACCTTCCGTGAGCAGCAGCAACTTGTCGCACAGTTCGAACATTCGCGTAGACGGTTGGTGCATCGAAAGAATGACGATCAACTGCCGCCACGGTCGTCAGCGTCCGCGTCGCCGCAGCAGTTTCCGAGCACTCACGTTAAATTTCTCCGCAACCTGCTTCAGATAGTACAAGACTTCCCATGCAGTCAAAGCGTCAAGGCTGGAAGTCGGCTCGTCGAGGAAGAGGATACGCGGCGCGGTGACGAGCTGGGATGCGACACTCAAGCGCCGCTTCTGCCCTCCGGAAATTCCCTTCTTGATCGGGGTGCCAATCTTATTATCTGCGAGGTCCATCAGGCCGAAGCGCCGCAGGAGAGTGTCCACACGCATGAGGCGCTCGGATTCGTCCACGGACGAGGGGAGCGAGATCCGAGCGGCGAATTCCAAGGTCTCTCGCACGGTGAGTGAGCCTGTCAAAGTATCCTCCTGATCCACGTATGCGGCCCTGCTGCGGAGGAGCTGCTCGTCCACTTTGCAGCCGTTGATGTAACTGATGCCCGTGACGGAGCGGTTCGGTGGGGTTCGCTGAGCCAATGCGTTGAGTAGTGTAGATTTCCCGGATCCACTGTTGCACTGGTCAGTCAAAGACATCTGCGCACGCTATCACACCTACGACGGGCCCATCAGAGCGAGAAGCTCGCCTTTCTTGACTATGCCGCTAACGTCGGACAGGATTGTCTTCTTCTGCTTCGGACGGCGCGTCTCGACCGTAACACTAATGTCCTCCCACATGAAGCTATCATACTCGTCGTTCCGAAAGTACTGCTCACTGTGCCCCGCGTCCGCTTCCACGTCCGACATCGTGAGCGCCTGAATCAATATAGATGCTGTGGAGTTGGAGCACCGACAGTCAGACCGTTGACTCGAGTGCGTGAAGAGTGGAGGAAGCCCGATGGTACCAGTGGGAAAGGTTTTGAGCGAGTGAACACCGCAGCATTGGCAGGAGCGACTAGCTTGATCAAGGCGCTCGAACGGCGAGGATGCTCCACCACGTGACGGCATCCGCATTGATGTGTCCCACATTGCGCAGACCACCACATGGGCCGCGCCCCGCCGGACTCGCAGTCCTCTATTCACCGTACCCCCCTACAATCATATCACCTCACTATACACGGTAGTTGCCAAGCTGTGCACCCGTGCTGCCTCCCCATCTCTCGTATTCATGTTCCATCACTGGACTATTTGCTGAGGGTGCCAGCGCAACGCGCCTGATAGAGGGGTTGCCGGACGACCACGAAGTCCCGCCAAATATATTCAGCCGAGCGGCGACTGCTATATATACTCACGTAACGAGCACGACCCGACGATGCAACTTCCTTCATGCCGCAGGGTCGACTCCGTTGCAGATGCCTCAGGATGTGGACCCTGACAACGAAGGGGATGGCTGGGACATCCCAGTCTATCAGTATACGTGTCACGGCAAGCTTGGGGAAGGCTCGTATGGCGTGGTGAAGTCCTACAGCCACCAGCCCTCGGGTGAACTGGTGGCCATCAAACGCGTCCCGTTGACAACTTCCAGCACAGTACGTCTTCGAGCGCTGAGAGAGCTACGGTTGTTGTATCATTTCGACCATGAGAACATCGTCACCCTGCACGAAGTAATACGCCCACCACATGACTACAGCGCCTTCGACGCAATCTACTTGGTCCTCGAACGCATGCCAATGAGCTTGTACGATGTGGTGTACGGGTGCCGGCAGAACGTGCTGCCTGCGCGCCGCTGCCGAAACATCGCTTATCAGATCCTTTGTGGCCTGGAAGCGATCCATTCCGTCGGTGTTCTGCATCGCGATCTCAAACCGGCGAACGTGCTCGTCGACGGCGATTGGAAGGCGAAGATCTGTGACTTCGGTTTGGCGCGCCCCATCGCTGGTCGCGATCGGTTGACAGCGTACGTCGCCTCGCGATACTACCGTGCTCCGGAGATTGTGCTCACGGCCAGAAGTTACGGTCCCGCCGTGGACATGTGGTCGGTCGGATGTATCCTGGGAGACATGATGTTTCGGGACATCTTGTTTCGAGCGAGCAACTCGGTGAGCCTGTTGCACAGAATATTCGAAAAGCTCGGAAATCCCTCCTGGGAAGACGTACGCGGCATGGTCGTCGCCACGGGCACCGCAACAGAGGAAGATCTTCGCCGGGCTCGAGACGTGCACAGCAGTTTATGGGAGAGTCGAACGCTGCAAGGAAAAGACTGGCGGGATTGGTTCCCCGCCAGAAAGCATCCCCCAGCGACCAAGAAAGCACTGTCTTTGCTCTTCCGGCTGTTGACCCTTAACCCTCACCGTCGCATCGCCGCGTGCGATGCCCTGAACCATCCCTACTTCCGGCGCCAGCTTCACCAGACACGTCAGACGGTGGCTGGCCCTGTGGTGCAACAGCCACCTTTGACAGAGAACACCACACAGCGGAAGCATCCCGAGCACCTCAGACGTTCGTAACGCGAACGCGTAATACCTTTTCCCCCGCTGACCAAAGCTACAGGGCTCATCTACGACGAGATCCTGCACCTCCACAAGCCGACGTACGCGGACGTTCAGCACACCGCGGTCATGAGGATGCCCAGCGCGATACGTCGGGAAGATTCGCCTGCTTGCGAAGGTACGGTTGCACCCACCGACTCACGGCAGCAAGGCATGCCGGCAGTGCCTGGACGTAGACCGTCTCACGTACGCGTGCACACGCTCCAGGGTGCGACACCTGACCGGCTCTACGACCCCACAACAGCCCAGCAGCGATGCACTCGTCAGCCACCTGCCAGTGCAGTGGGTGAGATCGACGGACCGCTCGCATCCGGGAATCTCACGTATGCCGAAATAATCGCGGGTGAAAAGATCCAAGGAAAGATGGGGGCACACAAAGCACCGACGACCACAAAGCCCTTCCGACCCTCTGCACGACATGTTCGGTCACCCGAGGATCAGGCAGACCAGTAGCATCTTCACATTAATCATATCGTGGATGCTCGCCGCGGACGTAGTCTTGGGCTTTGGCATTGCGCGCACACACTGCTTGGTGCCAGAGATCCCTGGTAACTCGAGCAAATTTGTGAATCCCACGAGCGGCCAGCTCTTACGACCCCGCCGAAGTCCAGCACATGCGATGACGCGAGGCATGAGCCCACATCGGTTGAAGTCCGCGAGCGCGAGCGCAAGCCCAAGTCCAGACCGGCTAGGTCGAGTGTGTGGTGAGGGGTTTCTTCGTTCCCAATTGCTGCTAGATTGTCCTGTGTCAGAGGCGCCCGCGGCGCCGATCTGTGTGCAACGGATGTAATTTGTAGTCTGTCTTTTGGCGCATGTGGGGCTGAAATGGGCGTATGTTGGAATGTCATAGTTGTCTCATGGGTGGGTACCCCGGCCAGCACAGCGTTCCTACCGTGCGAGGAGTGTGTGGAGCCGAGGCGACCAGTCTCTCCTCGCGGCTCTACAGCCTGATGGAGCCTGGCATCGTGCGGAGCATCTGTTAGAGCATCAGCATGCCTATGCGGCGGCATGGCGGCGGCAGGTGGGGCCATACAAGAAGCATACGGAGTACCGATGCATGTGCGACGCCGTGCCCTATGCTGTGCTTCCGCGTGTCCTTGATACTCCTCTCTGTCTGGTAGCATGCCATCACCGCGTGGTTGACACAACATGCAAGGACTTGCTGCTGAGTCCGCATCTCTCGACGTGCTCCAGGCGGGATGGGGCAACACTTGTGAGGGAAATTCGCCTACTCCTGCCTTCCATATCCGATTGATGGGCTTTGGAGGCCCCGGCGGTGACCGTCGATTTGGCCACAAAGACCTGAAAGCATCTCGCACCCGTTTGAACATGGCGAGTGGAGAGACTGGCAAACCAATGATGTCGAGAGAAAAACTTTCAGCTGTAACCCATGCTTTCAACTTCACGTAAAGAGTAGAATGAGCTTCGGGCAAGCAGACGTCGATTGTCACGCGGACTGCTCATTTCGATGTTCCCGGTTCACTCCCGAGCAGACCATCGGAGTCCCGCAGACCCCACAGGCACACCGAACTCTGTTCCGGACTGTCGGAGCACGTGTTCGTGGAGTCGGCGTTCTAGGCAGCTCGTAGCGAGTGGATGGAGAATGGCTGTCGTCTCGGGAGGCCTGGAGCAACCTCAGCTCCCAGGTCGATGAGATGTGGGCAGCTCCACGCTCGCGCGCACATGGAATTGTCGGATGGAGTAGGCCCCCCTCCCCCTCCCGCGATTGGATGGTGTCCGCTATATAACTGGCGAGCTGGTATCACGAGTAGAGTGGAGAATTGTCCATGCATCCACCTAAGAGAGTCAGGTTCAACCTTCCTGGCGAAGGAACGCGTATCGTGTCCCCGACCTCCTCACGGGGACGGGGAATGGAAGCTGATGACAAAAGCTTGCGGTACCTCGCCGGGCCTGCATGCGATCATCGAGGGTGGCCGCACCATTTTGGGCCGGGACGAACGAGGGACGTCCGCAACACGCCACGAGAGGAGACGAGACATGGGCATGACGCACTGCCCGGAAGGACTACAGTCCGGGATCGTGAAGCACCCGCTGGCCGCCACTGTCCCCGCGCCGACGCGAGCAGGGACGAATATCCCGCTGGAACGGCAGCACGATGGACCTACTGTCAACCGCGGCCGGGCCGGACCGCGAACGACCGCGCTCGGCCTGACTTCCGTCTCCCCGCATCAAGATTCGTCCAAGACGCAGCTCACGTCGACGAACCGAGGACTAACAAGGGAACG